TAAATTGTCATTTATGAAGAATCTATATACCTCATATCCCTCGATCAGTTCTGGTAAAAAGCTACGCCGAAGAGCCTCTCTTGTTCCACACTCTATTCTTCGCCAAGCATTTAAGACAGCGGTTTTATCAGCATCCACACGGCCTTTCTGCCTCACGGATGACCGATCCAAGGAGTCCATGATACTGGCCTGGCAAAACAAACTATGGTTAAGACCAGCTATGTCGCAAGAAAGCCGCACCATTGATTCAACAAACAGCATATTTTTTCAGATCATTACCTCCTTGTCCATGTCTATGCTTCTGAATTTGTCCCATTCTCCAACATTAGTCAAAGAAAAGGCTGAGGGTGGGACATCATCACCTGTACAACATTTGTAGGAGTCAGTGAGACGATGAATAAGCCTAAGACAAAAAGACGACAAACATGGCAGTACATACGAGATTCACGAGAGAAGAGGATACTTAGAAATTGAAAGAAATATTACCCCATGGTGGTGGGGCAAACAAGCCCCTGATTTCTTCCGCATCTAAACGAGGAACAAGTTCCATTAGAATACGATCATTTAGCCATCTCCGAGATCGCCGGTTACTAACCTGCATCAAACAAACAATATTAAGAAGAAAAACTCATTAGCTACGAGAGTATCAACGTGAAAAGATTTATCTTTGATCCCCTACCATATAAATCCAACTGTTGTTAGTTGAAAGAAGACAGAAAAATCACATCTTTAAGTATCAACAAGAGAATCACAAAATGGATACAGAATCGGCATTAAAACAACACATTGTTCCAATAAATGTTCAAGAATTCCTACGAGAAAAAAACTCACTTGTCCTGTGAGGCCCTCGAGGGCCTCAATTTTCTTCTCAAGCGAGAGGCCACGAGAAGCAAAAGTATCCCCTGCACATGTAACTCTAAGATGATTCATTCCCAGAAAACATAATTCCCATAATGAGAAACCCTACAATCCCCAGAACACAAATTTTCTCGAATTAAGGGAATGAAACCAAACAAGGGTCTTGTCTATCACTTGTCAATTTGGGAAAATTTCAAGAATTTTACATCGAATTACCTCTATGGGTATCAAGAGGGGACATCACATTGGTTGCCGCCATGATTCAACAAAAACAAATAAGAGGAAATGGGCTGATTTGAACAGAAATTCGAGCCACCAGACTGCTCGCTTTGAAAAGGAAGACTCTTTCGGGAGTTGTAATTGCGTCCGGTGAAAGAGAAGCCAAGCACCACGAGAATGAACGGAGACGAAGGAGGCAGCGATTTGGGATTTGGGATTCGGAAGCAAAAAATGGTAGACGCAAACGTATCAAGAGGAATATGCCGGATTCTGATTTTTTAACCCGACCCGACTCAACGGGTATGTTCGCTCATGGATGGTAGAAACCTGTCCTGTCTGAATGAATATCCTCGTCTCGGCTCGATTAAGATTAATGTCGGTTTAAAGTACCGGTTAAGCCTTCACGAACCTCTTTTTTTTACATGATTCTGAAACTCATGTAATAAAATAATCAAGTGAAAAGAAAAAAAAGAACAAATTGAACGGTGAACTATGATGGTATTTATTTGTTACGCTATACAAAACGTATCTAATATGATCTCTCCCACGGTAAAAAATTTAGTGTTTCCTGAAAAATTTACAAACTCAAGCGGAGGCTTGGTTACTTCAAGTATTGGATGGGTCGATTCTGATAATGAGAGACTCGTGTAAGTGATCCGGCGGTGGTGGTTCTACGATGGGAAGCATGGAAGTGTCGTCATTCTTCTTGCCATCTAATTCAGTTGCATTCTCAGCCAATGCTTTGTCCAATGATGATTTCGCCACTCTCGTTACGCATATTATCAGAATTACTGCACCCAAGAATGAGAAATCAGACCGCTTACGAAATGAACCTATATATTTGGAAATGGAAATGATCACTCAAGAGACTCACCAGCTAGAGCAACGCCAAACATCATAACTACCTGCATCCACACGTGACAATGCACAAGAATGATAAGTCAGACTTGCTTTGCAAGGGGAGAGAGATACTTTAAAGCTTATGCATTCCAGCAGAAAAAAAACACAACTATATTCAGCCAAGCTGATCTACGGCTATAACCATTCTAAGTAGCCAAGTGGAAGTAAATGAACGGAAACTTACCCAACGAAATACAGACATCTCATGCCATCCGTGTGTGATATCAGAAAGATCTTTCAGAGTAGTTCCAACATAAACTAGCGCAAATGTAATGGGCTGTTGCATCAAAACATTTTCAATAAGATTAGTATTACTGTTATGGATGATACTACCAATAAGCAATTTCACATGCATGCTAACTTTAAACAACTTCTTTTGTTTTCTCGGTTTCTCCCCTTTGGACTCGATTCATGAATTGGGACCATAGATCAAAACACTAGGCTCTTCTTCCACTACTATCAAAGTACAAATGGCCAACATGCAAGTGAATACTAAAGAGAATGTCAGTACCATCATTCCCAACCATGTGGCAAGCATGTATTCCCCCAAGCGAACGGGGGTTACAGATAGGAGGTAATTCAACATATTGAAGGGCAATATGGGGACAATGCGTAGCAGCAAAACTATCTGTAAAGGAAGAAAATACCAACATGTTGTTAGCAGTCAATCAATTAATGAAGCCAGAAAATCGAGGTACTTTGCCATATTGTTGGTCCCAGATATAGCTTATATGAACTGAACTGGCAATTAAATAAGAGAGTGCTACTTTCATGCCTTGAAGCCAGATCTTTGTATTGCTACGGAAACAGCTTGAAACTTTGGGTAATGCTTTATTTTTGAGGTGACATAAGATCTACCAATCTGCATGATATCAGAAAGACAAATGATAATCATTAGCGACAACTAGATAGCAAAGATAAGGAAAGATGCCGCACTTAGTTTGATTGCCTAGTTGTTAAGATGCAAAGAACACAGGAATTAGTCACTTCTCTGATTATAGCAAGCAGCGTGCAAGGGAAATTTATAAGAACAGATACTACCATATCGTTATTGAAGAGACATACCGTTCTACCCAGCAGAAATGCTGCTGTTGCACCTAAAGTAGCTCCAAGAGAGTCGGCTACAAATCCTACTGGCAGTCCAAAAAGATAACCACCGCCTAGCTGCAGAGACCAAGTTACGACTATAAAAACAGGGTAAAAAGTCCTATTTCCCACTTTGTAATGAAAATGTATGTACAAACATCACAGAAAACACCCTCGATTTCACTACATACATAGTTATGAATCCACACCTACCGTGAGCACAGAAGCAGGAACCGCCACAATTGTGAGAGGAATATAAGCCAAAGCCCTACAAATATGAGTGAGATAAATAAACAAAATGATTTAAGGTTGCCAGAAAACAATGCCAGCAGATTAGTGGTTTAAACTAAAGTTACGAAAGAGAGAAGAAAAAGTAAGAAGAACGAAAAAACTTACAATGCGAGTGGACCAAAAGGTCCAAGATCTTCCTTAATCCATAACAAGAAGTCTTTCAATTTCTGCAGAAAGAAAACACAACAATGATTCTTAATTTAAAATTTTCACATATATATTAACGATCTATGACAAGTGCTCTACAACCAATTCTAGCAAAGTTGTAGATTAACTTCATAAGCAAATCACAACATCTCGCTTCCTTCAATCTAGCGACCCAGTAACACTTTTCCAAACAGAGACATAGTGATCTAGAGAGTTCCAGTAATACTCCGTTCTATCCATTTCTAACAAAGGAAGCTACAGAGATAATCGCTCTACATTATCACTAAAGCTACATTTACAGGCGAAATGCGAATCAGGAGAGCAGGGGGGAGAGAGAAATTGCCTGTTCGACGGGGAGAAAAGTGAAGGCGGTGACGATAGCAACAAGGAGGAGCAGCGAGATTGCGATTCGGAAAGTGGACGGAGAAAAGGACATGGCCGCCATATACAAGGATCTGAGGCGACGGCGCCACCAAGGCCTGGAATGGTCATCCTCATCGCCGTCGTAATAATATTGACCTCCATTTAAACAAGCTCCTGGCTTCAGCCACGGCCTCGCCCTTAAGCCCTCCACTTTCGCCAGATTTGTCTTCCCTCCCAAAATGAATCCTGCCTTGTCTCGCCGCTTCTTTCTTCACCCCGATTCCGGAGATATGATTCAGACGCGTCGTCTCTTTCTCCTCCGAATGGGAAAGAGGAGCATCAGAGGTAGGATTGCAGAGATGGAGAGAAAGAGAAGCTTGTGCTTCAATTCTTCGATTTCACTGTTCTTCGATCTTGAGATTCTGTTGCGTCTCTCTCTCTCTCGTTCACTGTCAAAAACTTTTTCCGCGAGATTTTGCTGTTGTCGTTAATGGCCCAATAATTGGGCTCATAAATGATGACCCCAAAAGCCCAAACAAAGCAAATAACCATTTTTGTTATTAACCATTTTTTTCCTACTTTTCTTGCCAACAACAACACTACAACAGTATTGTACTAGAATATTTGTTGCATTTAATAATGTAATGGTTTTAATTATTTTGGAAGATCTCAATTCTCAAGAGTTGTGTAATTACTGATGGGGCAAGAGGCAGGTGAATCCTTCTCGGGGCATTAAAACCGGTGAAGATTTGATACACATGTACTGTACTACTATATGATAGCTCAGTAATTAATAGTTATCACGTTGCCACAAAAACTATACACATTTTGTGTATATAAAATTATTATAGTTAGTCAACAAAACAAAGCAATTAAAGGGAGAAAAACGCATGAGTAAAACAAATAACAACGGCAAAAAGAGAAAAAGAAGGGAAAAACGCATGTTGAATGCTGACGTGTCACGTGGTCCATGTAGCCCCGTATCAAGCCATTTCATCGTCTTCCTCTTAAACTAAACAATTTCATATTACAACAAACGGGCACACACGAGAGTCTCTCTCTCTCTCTCTCTCTCTCTCTCTAGCTCCGTCGCTGTTTGTGTCTCTCTGCAAGCGACCAAATCGAAGCTGAGAAGGAGAAGGCAACGAAAATGGTTGTTCTGAGCACGGTGGCGTTGGTAAAAGCCGCTTATTCGCTCAACAGTTTCGTCTTTGAAGCCGAAGACATCCGATTCGGCTCGCCGTGGTGGTTCGTCGTGGTCGGTGTGGCGTGTATCCTCGTTCTATTCGCCGGGATAATGTCGGGACTCACTCTTGGACTAATGTCCCTTGGCCTCGTGGAGCTAGAAATCCTCCAGCAGAGTGGCTCCTCCGCCGAGAAGAAACAGGCTAGTAAGTTGTCTAACTCCGATGGGTTCTTCGTTATATGACTAGATTCGACTTTCGTTGGCTATGTTCTCGATATTTATTGGAATTTTTCTTTGATCGCGCTAAAAATCGGTGCTCAGATTGAAATGACAAGCTTGATTCGTAATGGCTATTGAATTTCTAAAAAATTGGTTTTCTCAAAAAAAAAAAAAAAAATCTTATATTGTAATTTTCTGAGTGACGGAGTCTTTCTTCTTACTCTTTACGGGTAACTTTGGAGTTGCTTGAATTGTTTTTGGGTGTGGATAATGCAGCTGCTATCTTACCTGTGGTCAAGAAGCAGCATCAACTTCTTGTGACTCTGCTTCTATGCAATGCAGCTGCCATGGAGGTTTAAACCTGATTTGTTACCTCATTGTTCTGGATTTTACAACAGGAAGTTACCCTTTTTTGGTGCACTTGGTAATTAATCAATGATGTTTGTGCTTTCGTTTTTCCTTTTGCAGGCCCTTCCTATATGCCTGGATAAGATCTTTCACCCCTTTGTAGCCGTTTTACTCTCTGTTACTTTTGTTCTTGCTTTTGGAGAGGTAACTTTCTCTACTATTTCTTCTTCCTGTTAGTTGTGATTTGTTCAGCACTTTCCATCTATAACTAATACATTCAATCAGATAATTCCACAAGCTATATGCTCGAGATATGGACTTGCTGTTGGTGCAAATTTTCTGTGGCTTGTTCGCTTTTTGATGATAATCTGCTATCCGATTGCTTACCCTATTGGAAAGGTGATGTTGTTGTACACTTTTCTTTCTCAGAGCACTAAATGCAATAAACCTTATTAGCTAGAGATTGCACAAAGTCGGTTTTGTTTGAGTGGCTACAATTGTCAATAAATGATGTTTCTTACAAGTATGGAAGAACGGGGATTTTGCTGGAACTTGCATTTAATCTGGTAATGTCACTAAGAAGTGTAACCTCTTTTGGCCAATTGCATTCATTATATCACCTAAACAAGTGGATGCATTTATAGAGAGTCAGAGTATTATGTAGCTGTGGAATGTGGATGTTTACTTGTATCAACCGTTTTTACATGCCTCAGGTTCTTGATGCCGTAATTGGGCATAATGACACACTGTTTAGGCGAGCTCAACTGAAAGCCCTTGTTTCAATTCACAGCCAGGAGGTAGTTTCTCTTTATGATCTAATCATACAAATCCAGGATAGGAAAAAAAAAAAAAAGACAGATTATGACTGTAATTAATTAAGTTACTTGATTATCAAAGGTATCTTTGTTTCCAGCTTCCATTTACATGCTGTTTCTCTCCCAAAATAGGCTGGTAAGGGAGGTGAACTGACACATGAGGAAACGATGATTATAAGCGGAGCCCTGGATTTGAGCGAGAAGGTAAGGATTCAATTGACTCAACATCTTCAAGACTACTTTCCACTGACCTACTTCATGCATTTTCATTTCTTGGAAGTTTAGACTGCTGAGGAGGCTATGACGCCAATTGAATCAACTTTTTCCCTGGACGTAAATACCAAGTTAGACTGGTGAGTAAAGGTTAGAGTTGATCTGTACTTAACAATTTGCTTTCTCTTTATGTCTAATCTTTCAGAGGAAAATAGATTTGAGAGTAAGCTCTTTGCCTTAATCTAACTAGACCTAGTAGAGTTGCACTTGGCAACAAAAAGCTCCTCAGTTGAAATAATGAACTGCCACCTTGTAAATGCAGGGAAACAATTGGAAAGATACTCTCCCGAGGTCATAGCCGAATCCCTGTCTACTTAGGGAATGCGAAAAATATCATTGGACTTCTCTTGGTACTCCTGTCAAACTTTTGCATTGCTTCATTTCACTGAATCTTATTGGATTACTTAATTTATGTTACCTGCTGCTATAATCTAGGTTAAGAGTCTTCTAACGGTACGAGCGGAGACAGAGACACCCGTCAGTGCTGTAACCATCAGGAAGATCCCAAGGTATATCCTGCTTCCTTAAGCTTTACCTACCCTTAATATGTCTCCACTTTTGAAATAAGAAAAATGAAGTTCCCACACATTGCCTTTCCAGGGTTCCATCAGACATGCCACTGTACGATATCCTGAACGAATTTCAAAAGGGAAGCAGTCACATGGCTGCTGTTGTCGAAGTTAAAGACAAAGATAAAAAGAAGAATATGCAGTTGCTGAGTAATGGCGAAACAACTAAAGAAAATATGAGCTTATACTCGAGTCCTCAATTAACGGCTCCTTTGCTTAAGCACGTTGATGAGAAGACGCATGATGTTGTTGTTGATATTGATAGAGGACCAACACATGTGAAAAACAGGGGAAGAAATTTCGAGGAGAAGGGTATTTTGACAAGAGACTTGCCGCGTTTGTTGGAAGATTACGAGGATGCAGAAGTGATTGGCATTATCACGTTAGAAGATGTCTTTGAAGAGCTTCTGCAAGTAAGCTCTAATGCTGTTCTTCTATTTTCTGGTTCGATGATCCCTGCCGTTTATGTTGCTATATACAATTCAGTTAAGAAGTTTTCCTCTGTTGATTTAATGGAAATGCAGGCAGAAATCGTGGATGAAACTGACGTTTACATTGATGTACATAAAAGGTATTGTAATGGTATTTAATTACCCTGAGCCACTTCTTTATTGCTTATGGAAGATTCACTAAAATGTAAGTAACTGAATCCGTATCTCGACATCATTTTAGGGTACGTGTGGCTGCAGCAGCAGTTGCTGCGGTATCATCCATAACACGAGCTTCACCAGCGGTAAGAAAGAAACGGATCAAGTATATACTGAATCAAAGTTTTAAAACTAGTTTAACTCAAATTAATGCGTGTATTTGTGTGTGACACTCTCAGGAGTATCAAAGCAAGGTAGGACTAACGGTGAAGAAGCTTGTGGGGAAGGAGGCACGAGGTACAAAGAGTCACACTACAAAAATCACGGAGCCTCTTTTAGCAGCAGAGTCAGATAGATAGGTTTAATGGCAGGCTCGTCGCACATACTTTGTTGTATGTTTTGTCTATAGAAAAGTTGAAATAATGGAAAAAGAGAAGAAAAAATGACTGAAAATAGTTTTGTTTTTTGTGGAGAGGAAATGAATATACAATAGAAGCCAATCATAAATTAAGGTACATAGATCTTTCTCATCTTTCTTTGCTTGTTCGCCAAAGTCCAGTATTATCCATTTCCTATTGGTTTGTTTGCATGGACCTTTATCTTCGCCGAGAAAGCCACGTCAGTCAAAGTCAATCTCTTGACCAAAATACCCTCGGATACGCTTCAAAATTACGCATTAACCCAAAGCACCGACCTAGTCGTCTGCATCTTTTATTCTTTTGTTCATCTCATAAGAGAAGCCAAACATTTCACAATTACGAAGCAAACAACACATAGCTCCTTCTTCTTCTTCCTCACAGTTCTCGCTGCCCAGCTCATATTCCTCAAAACGGAAATTTCGAGACAGGTTTGTGATTTTTTTGCTTCGTTTGTCTCTGGAAATGTTAAAAAAGTGATCTAGGATATTTAATCATCGGGCTCAGAAATTTGCTCCCCTGTGTGTGTATTTTGATGTTTCGCGATGTCGTTATCAAAGTGCTGGTTGATCGTTTCATGATCGGCTCGATTCTGACGACTAGATTCATCTCTCTTTTTTCATGAATAGGTTTTGTGATCTCCGTTTTTCAATCCTAGAAAGCTTAGATGATATGCTGAATTGTACAAGTTTAAGTTTTGTTTCCTCCTCTCTCTCTTTCATCTGCATATCGCGGAAACAATTAGGGTTTTAGTGTACGCCGGAGATGCTAAACATTGATAAAGTTGATTCCTTATCCGTCATATCATGTCTTATAGTGTTATCCTTGTTACTGATTCCATTTCAATTTGGGTTTATTTTTTTCTTGTTTCCTGCAGAGTAAAACTTTGACTGATGGGTTTCAGCTCTGTCTATCGATCCCTAACGGAGATATTTCCTCAGGTAAACACTGATCTTATATCTCATGTCTCTTTCAATTTGACATGTAGCTCCCGGACTTAAAAGAAAATGGAATTAGGTTGTGAAGCTGATTTTCAAATTATGTCTCTTCATAATTATTACTACATACCTTTTGCAGTGGAATCGGGAAAGGACATGTACATTCAATTGCTTAGTTTGATCAAATGTTTTCACTTCCTATATTTGATACCATTTTCGAATTTGGCTTAATCATCTTTCATATTGTGTTTTTCAAATAGATTTCATGTTCCACTGCAGATTGATGCACGAATTTTGAGGGCTGTCGCAAGAGAACACCCGAAGGATGCTGATGAGGCTGCTGCTGTAGTTCTCTCTGAGATTGTTCCTTCGTTACCCCCAACTTTGTCCCATAATCTTGATCAATCATTGAACAAGCCATCTGGAAGTATTTCAGTGCGCGAAGGTACCTCTTTAGCACATGAAAAATAACTGCTCCGACCTCTTCATTCGCAGCACAAGGTTTCTCATATGTTAATAAAATGCTTGTTTAAAATGCAGTGGAACGTGATTTGGAAGATGTTGTTTCTAGGTGCCGTGGTTTTGTTGTAGCTTCTGGTTCAAAGTCCAGCGCCTCCTCTTCTTCAGAAACTATCCCCCTGGTTGTTGCTCGAGGCCACGATACCAGTGCTCCAAGTACCAAATTGGTCTCAGATGAGAACGAGATAACAAATTTCCCAATAACTATTGGTCGTGGTGTTGGAAGTGATGAAGTCCAGTCTTTAGAAAAGGCTCCTGGAAAAGAGAACGACAAGTATGATTTCTTTGGCAAGTGTTTTGAAGTTTCAAACCAAGCAGTAACAGGCTTGAAGAGCATGCCAGAGGATGATCTTGCCTCAGTGGTCTCTGCTGGCGCCCAAGACAGTGTCAAATCAAATACCTACTTTTGGCAAGATCTTGATTTTCATATGACATGGGATCAATTAGATCCAGGCACAAGCATAGGTTCAGAAAATGCTGTACAGAAGCTGGTCGATACAATTCCTGGAGACAATATGACAAATATGCAGCAGGGTTCATGTGTTGAAGTTGGGACTGGGAGTACAAACGCCGTGGAAGAGGCTTCAAAGGGTTCATTAGCCAGTGAAAATGGTGATACTGATTTAGGTGGTGCTTTTAGCTCATCAACTCCTGTGTGCAGTGTTGATCACCTTGAAGAGTATATCGAGGATGCCAAAAGTAACAAGGTATACTAACTGATATATATTCTTAACATCCTTTAACCCTGTGAAAATGTTTTACTTTTGTTAACATGCATCAGACTTGTGTTCACTGGTGCTGAGGTCCAGAAATGTTGGTTGTAATGTTAACTTTTTTCAATGTTCAATGATGTAGAAAACCTTGCATGCTGTGATGGAATCGGTCATGAATCTGATGAAAGAAGTTGAACTTGAAGAGAAGGATGCGGAAAAGTCAGAGGAGGAAGCTGCTAGGGGAGGTGTTGATACTCTTGAAAAGGTTGAGGAGCTGAAGAAGATGCTGAAACATGCCAAGGAAGCGAATGACATGGTAATGTTATTATTACCTATTATGTGCTAATACAGTACTTGTTGCTCAACGTGCTTGGATTTTTATTTTCTTTTATTGCAAGGAGAACTAATCTGCTATGATGTTTTGCAGCATGCTGGAGAAGTATACGGAGAGAAGTCAATTTTGGCCACTGAAGCAAAAGAGCTTGAAAACCGCTTGCTCAACTTATCAGAAGAACGAAACAAATCTCTTGCTGTCCTTGATGAGGCATGTTTCATCTGCTGATCATAAATTTTGTCTCATTTTTTTTTTCCTTTTTCACACTGTTGAGAGATTTATCTATTTGTGTGTCTTTGTAGATGAGTGAAACTCTTAAAGTAAGACTAGCGGCAGCATTGGAGATGAAAAAGGCTGCTGAACAAGAAAAGAAAGAAAAAGAAGACTCTGCACTTAAGGCACTTGCTGAACAAGAAGCCATCATGGAGAAAGTAGTCCAAGAATCAAAGCTTCTAAAGCAAGAGGCAGAGGAAAACTCAAAGGTAAGAATCACTAAGCGATGAGTTTCCTCTCCATGTCAGAAATTCTTCTCAATCTCATATTTTTTTCTTTTCTCGGCTTGCAGCTTCGAGAGTTTCTTATGGACCGTGGTCAGGTCGTTGATTCCTTGCAGTAAGTCACATTCTCGACCCACCAACCGCACTTTTGTCCATCTGTTTATAACACCCGTAAATGCTTTTTAGCTTTCCCTGTGGATATGAGTAATTAATGATTTGGTGTGTCAAATGGATCTTTAATCTCTCTTTGTTCTTTGAGCAGAGGAGAAATTTCTGTCATCTGTCAAGATGTGAAGCTGTTGAAAGAGAAGTTCGACAACCGAGTGTCATTAATCAAATCAGTCTCCTCGAGCCAGACTGGTTCATGCGGATCATTCGTCGGAGGCGGCTTTGTGTTTGATAGTTCTTGTGAGAGATTGAATGAAGTGCTTGGAACCTCAAGCAACAACAAGACCTCAGAAGCAGTAGCTTCTTCCTCCATGGACAAAGAGAAAGATGACTGTAGAGATCTTCTTGGAGATGATTGGGAGATCTGGGAGTAGGAGGTCGAACTTTAAGGTGGAGGTGGGTTGCTGCTGAAGAATGTACATATAGGGTTCTTATTAAAATAAAAAAATGCTATAACTAAAGAATAAAATGGAGGATCTGTTCACTACTTTTGGATCAGTGACTGTAAGAGTGGTGCTACCTTTTTCTTGAACTCAAAACAGATTACTCATGAGCTATGATGATGGATTTTGTCAGTATTTCATGCTTGTTTTTTTTTTATATAATAAGATTCTATTAAACAGAAAGAATAGTGTTAATACAAATATTATCCACAAATTTAGAAAAAATCATTACTGAATTTCAATCAAATGCAAATATCTTTTTTTCAGTTTTCTTCTTAAAATAAACCGTCGTTTAAGGAGGAGGGACCTACACACCCAGTAGCAGTAGACTCCAAAATAGAAAAGGCTTAAACTTGGGCGGTCCGTTGAGTTAAGCCATAAAAATTGAAAAAAGGAACAAGACAAAACCAAAAATCTCGAATCATAAACTCAGAGACACACTCAATTTCTCAAGATGGGTGTTGTCAGATAATCTATGTTTCAATCACTGTGAAATTCTCCGCTTACAAGCTCATTTTTATGCTTCAATGGCGGTGATGATGCTTATGCGACAAATTCTCGATTTTTTCTAGACGCTTGTCTCTTCTTCACGCCTCCTTGTGTTCCCTTTTCTTCTTTTTCTATGTTTTCTTAGTATTTCGATTTGTCTTTGATCCTGGGACTTGTCCTTCTTGTTCATTCTACTATTTCATCTCCTATGTGCTGGAATTCGAAATGCCGATGGTAAAAAAAGGGAAAACTTTGGGATGACGATTTAGCTGATTCGATGAGTGTTTTTTTTCACGGTGGACTGTTAGCTGATTCGACCTCATTCTGCTACATCTGGCTCAAAGGTAGAGAAATGGTTCCTCATCCATTTCTACTGATAATTGTGTCTATCTACAATTAGTTGAATCTCAGATCAAACTGCTCAAAGCTTTTGTTTCAGTTAGATAATTGAGATAAGCAATCTTTTGTTTTACTTGTGATCTCAGGGATATTCATCTCCTGGATTGCTAAAGTTTAGGGACAAGAGAGAAGCTTTCTGTTTTGTTTGAAATAATGGCTGCTTTGTCACTCTCAGCTGCGTTAGGTTCTTGTGTTCTTAACAATGGCATCACTGGAACATGGAAATCGCCTTCTGCCAGTTTTTCAACTGGTAAGATTCACAAGACTAAACCTGAATCCAATACACAGATAGTTACAAGAAAACATATCTTGGGGGATTCGGTTACAAATGCATTGCAAAGTTATCGGTTGAGTAAGATATGTGCTTCCAAGACTTCTATCGAGCTGAAGGAACAATTATCTACTAGGAGAGCTCAGATCGATGACCTAAAGAAGGTAACATCGTATCTTTTCAGGACGAAATCTGGTGCTCTTGTCAAAGTGAAAGTTGAGAAGAAGAGAGAAAAGTCCAGCATCATGGTTTATGTCTCATCTTTGGAACTAAGTGGTGGTGACGACAGGAGTAGACTGGTGATGGTTTGGGGTGTATACAGGTGTGATTCTTCGTGTTTCTTGCCTCTGGATTTCGAAAACTCTTGCCAAGATTCACAAACCCACACAACAGAGACACCATTTGTGAAAAGCTCTCACTCTCAGCTAATGCTGGGGCTAGAATTCGATGGGAAAGAGTCTCCTTTCTACCTATCATTTCATCTGAAGTTAACGTCCGGAAAAGATCCGGTCGGTCTAGAAATGCTGACACACAAGGACACTAGCTTCTGTGTCCCGGTTGGTTTTACTGCTGGTCATCCATTGCCACTAGGCCTCTCTTCTGGTCCAAATGATGACTCTTGGAACTTTGCCTTCTTTTCAAGAAATTCAAGTGGCGTTGTTTTGTGCTTGTATGATGAGAGCACAAGCGATAAGCCTGCGTTAGAGCTTGATCTCGACCCTTATGTCAACCGAACAGGTGATGTTTGGCATGCTTCAGTTGAAAATGCTTGGGATTTTGTGAGATATGGGTACCGTTGCAAGGAGAATGAAGAAGTCGAGATTGAAGCTGAGCAGGTTGTTTTGGATCCATATGCCATAGTCATTGCTAAATCCGTCTCTCAGAAGTTTCTTGGAAGTTTATCTAAGAACCCTTCTTTTGACTGGGGAGAAGATGTGTCTCCAAACATACCACTGGAGAAACTCATTGTTTACCGGTTGAATGTGAAGAATTTCACGCAACACAAATCCAGCAAGTTGCCCACTAATGTTGCAGGGACTTTCTCTGGTGTAGCTGAGAAAGTGAACCATTTGAAAACCCTTGGAACCAACGCTGTTCTCTTGGAGCCAATATTTTCCTTCTCCGAGCAAAAAGGTCCTTACTTTCCATTTCATTTCTTTTCACCGATGGACATGTATGGTAATGGACCTTCCAATGGCCTCGAATCCGCAGTTAACTCAGTGAAAGAGATGGTGAAGAAACTGCACAGTCAGGGGATTGAGGTACTGTTGGAAGTAGTTTTTACACATACTGCTGGATCTGGAGCTCTTCGTGGAATTGATGACAGTTGTTATTATTATAAGGGAAGGGACAGTGATCTAGATTCTAAAAGTTACTTGAACTGTAACTTTCCTGTTGTTCAGCAGTTGATTTTGGAGAGCCTGCGTTATTGGGTGACTGAGTTTCATGTAGATGGGTTTTGTTTCATCAATGCTTCGTCTCTCTTGAGAGGCGTTCACGGTGAGCTCCTTTCTCGTCCTCCTTTGGTTGAAGCAATCTCTTTTGATCCACTGCTCGCAGGAACAAAACTCATTGCTGATTGCTGGGATCCACATGACATGATGATGCCAAAGGAAGTTAAGTTCCCGCATTGGAAGCGATGGGCGGAGCTCAATTCAAGATACTGTCGAAATGTAAGGAATTTCGTGAGGGGAAGAGGCGTTCTTAGCGACCTGGCTACAAGAATCTGTGGTAGTGGTGACGTATTTACCGATGGAAGAGGTCCGGCTTTCTCCTTTAACTACATTTCAAGAAACTCAGGACTCTCTCTTGTAGACTTGGTCAGTTTCAGTGGCCCTGAGCTAGCTTCCGAGCTAAGTTGGAACTGTGGGGAAGAAGGAGCAACAAACAAATCAGCTGTTCTTCAAAGAAGGCTAAAACAAATCCGCAACTTCTTGTTCATACAGTACATTTCACTTGGAGTTCCGGTGCTCAACATGGGAGATGAATGTGGAATCTCTACAAAGGGCTCGCCTTTGTTGAAATCACGGAAACCCTTTGATTGGAACATGTTACCTTCAGCTTTCGGTGCACAGATCACGCAATTCATCTCCTTCATGACTTCGGTTAGAGCAAGGAGAAGCGATGTGTTTCAAAGGAGAAACTTTTTGAAGCCTGCGAACATTGTCTGGTATGCAAATGACCAAACAACTCCGAACTGGGAAGACCCTGCTTCCAAGTTCTTGGCATTGGAGATCAAAGCCGAGACAGAGGAAGAGACAACAGCGTCACTGGTTGATCCAACTGAGCCAAAGAACAATGATCTGTTCATTGGATTCAATGCAAGTGACCATCCTGAGACTGTGATCTTACCTTCGCTTCCAGATGGAAGCAAATGGAGGCGATTGGTCGACACAGCTCTTCCTTTCCCTGGTTTTTTCTCTGTTGAAGGAAAGACCGTTGTAGCAGAAGAAGAGATGCAGCAACTGGTGGTGTATGAGATGAAGCCGTACAGTTGTACCCTTTTTGAAACCATCGATTCTACTGCTTAGAACTCAAAAGTTATATGATCTCTGTATACATGTTATTGTTATACATTAATAACAACACTTATGCCTTTATCTTGTATCCAAAGCTTAATATCTTTATGGACTAGATCTCCGCAAATCAGTGTCCATGAAACATGCCTTTGATGGATTCAAATTTTTTACTTTTTACTTATTTTATTACATATATGGAAGGTAGAATTTCCAGAGGATCTAAGAGTATAAAGATAGTATCCTTATTCATTTTGCGTAAGATAAGATAACATACGAATGCTTAGGGTTTGTAATCTTGAGCAATTACATAACCGATTCTATAAGTAAAACCCAAGAAAAGTTGTTCGTCTTTCCTTCTTTTTTTGTTTCTCTCTGAAAGAAGCTGCAGAAACGTGATCTGAGAAAATGAACAAAGGTTGCTGCTCAAAATGTCAGGCTAAATCAAAGAAGACGAAGAAATCGAAGAAGCTCAAAGGTGAGTGTTTTTGTTCCCATCGAAAGTTTTCTTACTAACAAAATTTCAAAAATCTAAAGTTTCTGACTTTTCCTGATGAACAGAGGAGTCTTCTGATGAGGAGACCGAGGAGCAAAAGAAAGTTTCAGAGAACGAGAATCCGAAAACAGACGCCAAAGAGGAAAAAAGATCTAACGAAACTTCAGATGAGAAGGATACGAATAAGAAGAAGAAGAACACTCTCACATGGCAACACTCAAGTACAATGAAAGAGAAGGGTCATGGAGTTAGGCCGCCTTGTTTCACCGCTAGGCCGATGATGTACCATGGTAGAGGCAATCCTCCAAACTGGTGGCCGACGTCTGCAGTCCCGAGAGGCGGCTTTTCTCCAGCATTTTCGAGGGCACCAATGTGTGGACCATACGGTGGCGGTGGTCCATTTCAACCACACCAATTCAGGACTCATGCCCCAATGTGCGGACCATATGGTGGCGGTGGTCCGTTTCAACCGAACCAATACATGAGTCAAGCCCCAATGTATGGACCATATGGTGGCGGTGGTTTATTTCAACCGAACCAATACATGACACAAGCCCCAATGTATGGACCATATGGTGGTGGTTTTCACATTCCACCATATCCGCCTATGGCTCGACCTGCTCTTCCTCCCTATTTGCAAAACAGACCGCTCATGGATGCTAATCCTATAAAGCGTTACACTACCTATAGAGACAATTACTCCTTTGGCCTCTTCTAAGTTCCTTCATATGTTTTTTCCTCTGTTTGCTTCTTTTTTATTTGTTCTCAGAGAGAAGAAACTAATGCAATGACAGAATAATACTTTTTTCATCAAAGAGTTTTAACGGAAACATATTATCCTTTGATATAGATAATGGGAACCAGATTCATTACACTGAAAATGAAAGGAGTATCAAATCTTGTTAATAAAGAGATTTAAGGTTTGGAGATACAAGGGCTTGGCTTGGAGGAATCATCCACCTCTAGCTTCTCTTCTAGCGGCATCGTGAAGTAGATCAACATCGACTCCATCAGGAGGTAGCTGCACGTACCTCACCACTGATCCTCTGATGAAACAGTTCCTCACCGAAAGCTACACAATTTTCACCACAGAAACACAGTAAGCTATAAACCAGTTGAAATGATTCTTAGAGAAAACATGTTACTACTCTCTGAGAAGATTCTTAAAATGTGGCAAGAACAAGACATTGAGTGCCACAAAGATGCTAATATTAAGCTAAAAACATTGTACTTCTGAATAGATTTGACAAATCTCAATGGCTACACAAATTAGAGAGTATATAAGCAGAAAGATAGATCAAACATGTCAGTGAGAAAAACAAGAAGGAATGATGGGTTAAAACACATCTGCAAGAGCCAAGCATTAAGCTTTTAAATTCATCAACAAGGAAGAAAATAGCTAGAAGAACCAAGCCTAACTGGTAATGTAACACCAGAAATCAAAATCACAGCTATTATTACTGGATAAACTACTTAAGAACAATTCAAGTACACACGGCAAAGCAAAAGACCAAATTCACCATGAACCCTAAATTCCCAAACTAGAGAAATCGAAGAATTGATTAAGAATAGAATTTACCATGTGAGGGTACTTGTCCTGATCAACGACCCTAGTGTTCTCGAGCTTGATATTCAGATACTGATCCACTGAATGAAGAGTCCCTCTTATCGCTAAATCGTTCTTCAGCTCAACCGTCACTTCTTGTCCAACCAAATCCTTGAAGTACGAAAAGAACAACTGCACCACATAACAACCAAATCTATCACGATAAACCCTAAATCATCAGCGAAAACCAATGAATAGTAACGAAGAAAGCCTTCGTTAGGTCAAATTGAAACAATCCCAACACGCGAATTCAGGAAAGACGAAAGAAAGCATACAAATTTACCATTTTTTTCTCTGCAGATGCTTTCCTCTGCTCGCAATTCAACAAAGAAGGTCGAGTGAAAAGAGTTGAGAGACTTTAGAACTTCTTTGTAGTACCCTAATGGTTTTTGGGGTCAATTTCGATTTTATGAAACCAAATCTATTTTTATGTAATGTTTCAAAAGTTAGTGTACGATTTTAGTAATTAAAGTGTAGTAGAGGGCTAAAGAAATAAAATATTTTAAAAACACAAGAGTGTCTTTACCTCACCAGCCAAAGCCAAAGCCGAAAAACAAAGATTTACACAAATCTTACAATAATATATTCATCTGACGCAGATATCGGTGATTGCTGACGATAAGCTTTTCCCTAATTCTATATGGTTTGTGACGAACAAGAGACAGAATAAATACAGACCAAATCAGGTGTTTTTTCTCAGACTGGATTGTCAAACTTTGCTTAATGGCTTCTCATAGCTATTCAACTCTTGGGTTTGGTCTTGTTCAAGAGATAGGAAGCAACGAAATCATCAAGGTGAGTTTTTTTTCTTCTCTATACTTTCTCTGTTTTTAGTCATGGAAATTTTCGTTGTTTGATTCTTATGTCTATGAATGATTTTGCAGAGCCGTGCTTATCTGGTGAATCCTGGAGGAAGAAAACCTGAGATAAAACCAGAAAACTCCTGTAGCCTGAAGCTACACCACTCGGAGCCATGGAAGCCTTTTTGTTCTTTGAGAAAGTCTAATCACTTTGTGGAATTTGACTCTGCCATGATGAAGCATAGGTTCTTAGATGTTCATGGCATGTGTTTGTCATCAGACGAGGTTGATCTTGATACAGAGAGGTAATCTAATATGAAATATCATCTACTAATTTTTGCTACTTTTATTATGTTTTATCACATTGTGAAAGAATCTTTCTTTTTCATTCTCTGACAGTCTGGAAAAAACTAGAGTCAAGCCTTCGTCAAAGAAACAGAATCAGAAGATCAGAGACGGAGAGAACGATCACTACAGAAGATACACTCTCCATCCATGTGAGATCCTTCTCTCTTTGATGTTCAGCAACGAAGAACATAGACAAATCACAATGCGATCTCTAAGAAAGTCAGGTGGAGACCTCTCAGAGTTTTTGACTCAGCTTTCAGTCAGCTTTGCTGGAACCGGTCTCGCTGTGTTCCTCTCTGTGGCATGCTGTTTTGCTTCTAGGCGACTACTGTTTTGGGCAGACAAGGTCTTTGACAGTGGACAGGGTTTATTTGACAGTGGACTGGGTTTGAGTTTGGTATTGCTCTCATGGGCGGTGACTAGACTCAAGAAAGCTATTGTCCTTGTCAGTAGGAGGAAAGGGATCAAATACGCAGAATCGGCAAATAGAGTTGAGAGAAGAATCAAGGATGTTTACTTCGGAGCTGCAATGGTTTTCGTCATGATCGTACGTAGGATTGATTGGATGTTGCGATGATCCTAATGATAAAGGTTAATTGGTGAATGTTAAAAGGGGGATTATTGTTAGAGTTTAGAGACAAATAAGCTGCAAAGTGAGATTAATCACATTAGGATTTTTTGTTTTCTTTTGCTTTTCCAAAACACGAATCTCTCTGTTATTTGATCCAACTTGAATCTCAAAGTAGTAGAAATCTCTTAAGATACTCGAGAACAAACTGACAAGGAACATGGAACCCATATAGCAACTTAGGAGATCAAATGAAATTGTATTGCATATTTTCAAATCATATAGAACATTAAAGAGAAAACAACCGAAGAGTGGAGGCAAATCGCCAGAAACTTACAAAAACAAGTAGAAGGAGAGGAAAAAGCACACCACTTTAACACTACATTAAGCTTTGGATGATGATGATGGTTCTTCGTCGTCATCTTCAATGTCCCAACTTAAGTCTTCATCTTCCTCCGCAGCACTCAGACGTTTACGCAGTTCAGCTACGTTTGGACTACCACTGGAGCGAATCGCTTCCTTAGCATCGATGCTACTCATATCCTCAATCTCGTCCCATCCCAAATCCTCTTCCGATGGTTGTTGAGTTGATGAAGAAGCACCACCATCTGGTTTAGCTGAGTCTTGGGATGGAGCAGCCTTATCAGATTCTTGAACAGCCTCGGGTTTGACAGAATCTTCAATTTGAGCCTCACCGGATGCAGAAGCAGCAGCAGCATCAACAACTGTTTTTGAGTCAAGAACTTCCTCAATACCAGCTTCCTTCTTCTCCTCAGAATCTGTATCTGTCTTCAAACCGATATTGCCAACCTCAATCACGGAATCTGCACTTGTTGCTTCATCTTTCACACTCTTTTCAGTGACGGAATCTGCACTTGTCACTTCCTCTTTCACGCTCTCTTCAGTTACTGAATCTGCACTTGTCACTGAATCTGCCACAGTCTCGCTCACATCTCCACTGCCCGTATCATCATTCCCCGGAAGTTTCAATCTCGAGACTTCTTTGGTAGCTTCAGTAACTTTCTCGCTGGTCTCCTCTTCATCATCAATATCCCAGCTCAATTCTTCTTCATCATCCAGAGAGATTGCTCGTTTCACAAGATTAGCCCTCAAGTCTTCAGCTTGCTTGAGCTTATGAACCTTGTAGAAATACCTAAACCAAAAGGTCTCATGATCCACCGTACTGGGGACAATCCTTTTATACACTCCTTTCATATCTCCTCCATTTTCCTCCAACAACTTCTCCATCTCCTCAGCTTTTTCATCCAGAGAAAACTCAGATTCCCACTTTTTGTAATCATCTGTATCCTCAGGCTCTTCACAGTAAGTGTTGAGATCGCCTTGAACAACACGAACCTGAGCATCGAAACGACTGTAGGGTTTCGAGCTAAAGCTATCACGACGACCAACACTGCTACTGCTATTGTTATCAGAAGAATCAGATTCGTTACCAGCAGCTAAGATGGCTTCCTTACCTTGAGCAATGATCTCAGCCGTACCTTTTAGCACGGTGTTCCCAAGCTCGTCAATGGCATGTCCCACGGTGCCAAGCGATCCCTGCGCCACTTCAATCTCCTTTTTCAAACCTGTCCCGAATTCTTCGAGATCTCGTCGGTAGGTTTCGATCACGGATTCGGATCTGGTGGCTATGGTCTTCATCAGACCCCCGAAGCTCCATCCGCCGTCGTCGTTAGGGTCAGATTGGTCAGATTGCTCCGGATTCTCGTGCTCTTCGCTGTGTTTTGGTGAATCGGACTCCGATTCGGTTCCTGAAGGATCGGGGTCCTCGGAGAAGACGGATTTGAAGAAATTCATAGCCGAAAACTCAGATCTTACCGAATGGTGCTGTATGAATTAGGGATTTCAATCAATTTGATCAGTGGACGAAATGAATTGGAGAGAGACCGATGCGAATTGGCGTCAGAAATAGGAAGATCAAACTTCAGATATGAGTGACGTCAATTTCATGATCTATGCCACACCAACAAGCAAAAAAAGTGGGCATTTTTTATTTTTCCTTTTTGCCCTATTTTCATGAATTTTGTTTGTATTGGACAATTATCACTTCACAACAAAAATATAATGATTTCTTACTTCAGGTTTAACAATTCTTTTGAATTTTAATTATCGGATTAAATATTTCTCATAATTATTTTATTGCTTTGTCAACAAATATTTCTCATAATTATATTGCTTTGAAAACAGAAAAACCATAAAATTTGGTCTAAATATAAATTTTAAGAAAAAAGAAAAATTAATTAATAGTATATGAGATCATTTTGGCATCAATTATCAGATTGATTTCATCATAAAATCACTCCTTAGAAGGCCTAAATAAAGGAGTTTATAAATGGGCCAGAAGGTGGATGGACTCGTCCAACAAATAACCCAAAACCCTAGAATCCATTAGGGACAATCGTCTGAGGTATTTGGTCTTCTCTCCCAAACTTTGCTCTTCGATCGCCATTGTTGTGTTGCTGGATTTGAGGAGGAAGAAAAGAGAGATATGGTGATGAGGAAGCTGCAGTTACCGTTGAGCCAGACGCAGAAGGTGAGGTTTGAGAGAGCCATCGAGCGGCTACAATCACTGTCATCGACGGTGAACTCTGACGCCTCTGTCATCGTCACCGACTCCATCCCCGTCAACCACGAAGATGCCTACCTCAAGTAATTTTCATCTCCTTGGCGCTCTCTCGATAGCTCAGCTTCTCCGTTTTCTGGATTGAAATTCTCTCAACTTGTTTTTAACGTTTGGTTTTTAAATTAAAGGGGGCACGGAACTTCCGAGGTCGACGGCGAGTTGCTTGCGACGGTCTGTGGAGTTGTGGAACGCGTAGATAAGCTTGTCTGGGTACGCACCTTACGAGCCAGGTACTTTTGATTTCCTCTCCGATTGCTCTTCGAATTTGTGATTGAAATTAGTTCTCTACTCTGAGTTTAAAGTAGAGCTGATGGTTCAACGATCTACGTTTAGGTACAAGCCTGAGGTTGGGGATATTGTGGTAGGCCGTGTCATTGAGGTACATTTCTGTGTTGAGTGAATTTGGTTTTGAAAAAAATCGGATTGAGAGATTACCAACGAAGCTCAATGAATATTTACTTATTCAGGTCTCTCAAAATCGTTGGAGAGTGGAGCTTAACTTTACTCAAGATGGAGTACTCATGCTTTCTGCAATGAACATGCCCGATGGTGCCCAGGTTACAATCTGTTTCCCAATTGTTTTTGCCATTTGGATGATTGATGGTTTCCAAATTGTATGTTGGCATCAATGATGTAAGTTTCTCGGTGTTGGCAGAGGCGAAGAACGTCTGTAGATGAACTCAATATGCGGAATATCTTTGTAGAAGATGATGTTGTTTGTGTAAGTCCTATCATTAATAAATGTTCCAGCTTTGTTTCATATAAATTCGCCTTGAACGAAAATTCAAGCTGACAAGAATTTCTCTCTTTGGCTTTTGCAAATTCCATAGGCCGAAGTACGAAACTTTCAGCATGATGGCAGCTTGCAGTTACATGCAAGAAGTCAGAAGTATGGAAAGGTTGGTTCTGATTTTGTTTCACATGCTCAAAGTTTATATCTTTTACGATGCTTTTTTCGTCTAAACATTGATTGATCCTTGAAATCTCTACAGCTCGAGAAAGGACAGCTTGTGAAGGTTGATCCTTACTTGATTAAGAGAAGCAAGCATCACTTTCACTACATAGATAGTCTTGGGCTCGATTTGATCATTGGCTGCAATGGCTTCATATGGGTCGGGGAACACGTTGAAGTTAGAGATCCCGTTATCATTGCTGATCAAAAGGATGATGAGATGGTCACATCCTCCACCAAGGACACATGGAAAGAGGAAAGCCATACTTCACTCGAGACTCGACAGAGCATATGCAGAATCGGGAATGCGATACGTGTCTTGTCTAATCTAGGCTTCACCGTGACTCTAGAAGTGATCATGGAGACTGTTAACATCAGCAACTCGAAGAACGTCGAGATACACGACATGCTTGGATCAGAGTTTCACGTTGTGGTCGCGGAGAATGAAGCTGAAAGAAGACGTGCAAAGAGGAAGAAGTGAAATGCCCCAACCAAGCAGAAGTGCCATCAAAGCTTTAGACTTTTTGTTGCTGATGGTAGACGTGTAACGTGTATTAATTAGAGATCATGTGGGCTTGTTTTGATTATGTTTGTAACTTGGAAAACATTGGGTATCGAGTTAGTGGTTATTTTGGTTTTCATCTTTCATATCATCAAATTTGCCTGTATCGATGGTTGTAGCTGAAATTGCTTTAATGATTTTACAGATGCAGAAACAAAGCAATAGAAAAGATTCGCTTTTGGGAGGGCTAAAAGAGAAAGAATATTTGTCAAATGACTAAAATGCCCTAAAAAGCAATCAAGTAATTGCCAAACCTTTCTCTCGATTGCGGCCAAATCCTTCGTCTCTCTTCTTCCCTTTCACTTTCAGTCTCTCGACCTTTCTACACTCCTTAGACAATAATATTCTTCTTCGATTTCTCGATTCCTCGAATCGTCCCGTCGTTTCCCTTCTGTTCTTCTCGCTCACGGTTACTCTCCCGGCACCGTCCTCCGTAAGCCGTTATCGTCTTCGTTGAAGGTCAGTTTACACTTTATTTTTGGGTCCGCTTCGGTGTGCTCGTGATTTTTTTTTGGGATTCGATGTTTATTGCATTACGATTAAGCACTCAATCAGAATGTAGCACGCTTTGGATTTGAGGAATCTGTATACGTTTCGTTTACTCAGAAAATCTGCTTTTTGACGTGTTTCTGGGATTTCATAAGTCGTGCAATTGAATGATGTTTCTGAAAGTTACTACTAGGAGATGAAATCATTTGTTGTTTGCATGTATACAGAAATGTTTGTCTTATTATTCATCGTTGTTATTTTAATGGATTTTCAACACGGGTTTATCCGTATGAACACTGTAGAACCTATGCCATAAGCATTTCTGTGTGTTTAACCTAAATCATTTTTTTGTAATTGATGAAAAGGTGAGGAGAATGGTTCAAAAGCAAGAAGAAATGATTGACTGTGGTCTCAGTGGTGACAAAGGAGGAGCGTTAACAGTGTCACCCCAGGAAAAAGGAAGGAAAAACAAGAGAAAGTTAGGTGATCCTTCTCAACATAATGTTGCTTCTCTGACTGAATTCCCTCGATATGAGTTGCCTTCGCTGAAAACTCAGAACCATTTGAGCGGCATTGGGTTGATTGGGGAAGTTTCTAATCAGCTGAAAGTTGAAGAGGCTGAATGTGTAGAATGGGATGACCCATTTGCCTGTCGTCTTGAAGAATTGCTGTCATCAAATTTGCTCACGCTCTTCCTTAATGCAATGAAGCAACTTATTGATTGTGGCTACACCGATGATGATATTCTGAAAGCTATGTCAGGCAGTAGGCTCTACTGTGGAGGCAATGAGCTTCTCTCAAACATTGTCGATAACACCTTGAGTGTTCTCAAGACTGGAGACGAAGGTGCTGATTCAAGAGATTATGTTTTTGAGGATTTACAACAGCTTGTCTCGTATACATTGGTAGAAATGATAAGTCTTGTTAAGGAGGTCAGGCCGTCCCTATCAACAGTTGAAGCCATGTGGCGGCTTTTGATGTGTGACTTGAATGTCTTGCAAGCATTTGATGTTGAATCGTCTGATTCTCCTGGTTTCAGCTCTAGTAAATCATCTGAATCTCATGCTGCTGAATGTAATCCTCCAAACTCGAGTGACCCAGATAACCCCAAGCCTCCAAAAACCAATGCGCAAAGCAAGAAGAGTGAGCCAGTCAAATTTGGTAACTTCCCAAATGTACCGCACTGCAAACATGCTCATCATCCTTGTGGAACAACATCAGGAAAACAAGTATCTTCAGGTAGCACTGTTTCTGGTGCAGGCATGAAAAGTACATCCTTTACTCTAGTCTCTGATGAAAAATTGGTGTCTTGTCGAAAAGGCCGCACTAAAAAGGAAATTGCCATGCTTCGGCAGAAATCATGTGTGGAGAAGATTAGGACTTACAGCAAAGGCAGTGGCTATAAGGCGGCAAAGTTTGCATCAGTCGGCAGTTTCCTTCTAGAGAAAAGAGTCAAATCATCTTCTGAAATGGTGGCAAGAAATTGTTCATCAAAGATAACAGCAGAGATTGGGGTGAAAGTTTCAGTAGAGGAAAGCAGCTGTTTCGTACGCAAGACCACTAGTAAGTTAGAGTCACCTGTGGTGGTGGTAGATGCGAAGGGGTATATAACTGCCTTACCTGCTATGTCTGCAACTTCGGTATCAAAAGCGTCAAAAAAAAAGTCTGGCTCTGAGTCTGCTACTCATGCACCATCAGCTTCAGAAAAGAAGTCTGGCTCTTCAGTACCATCAGTTTCAGAAAAGAAGTCTGGTTCTTCGGTACCATTAGCTTCAGAAAGGAAGTCTGGTCCTGAGACTGAAGAAAAGGCGCCTGCGTCTGCAACGCTACCACCAGATTACTACGCTGGGATCCCGTTTGATGCATCTCTGGGGACATATGTTCCCCGGGATAAAAAGGATGAATTGATTCTAAAGCTTGCTCCTCGAGTTAATAGCTTGCAGAATGAACTGCAGGTATGGACTGACTGGGCTAATCAGAAAGTAAAAGAAGCAACTGTCAGGCTTCTTAAGGACCAACCAGAGCTTAAGGCACTAAGGAAAGAGCGAGAAGAAGCAGAACAGAACAAAAAGGAGAAGAAATTACTGGAAGAAAACACTATGAAGAGGCAGTCTGAGACGCAGTTGGCGATGAGGAATGCGACCAGCCAGTTTGAAAAAGCTAACAGTACTGCTCGCAGGCTTGAGCTAGAACAAATTTTACTGAAGAAAGAGATGGAAGCTGCTAAGCTAAGAGCTGCTGAGGCTGCTGAGATTTATAGGGAGGCAAAAGAGAGAGGGCAACGATCATTGAAGGATACTCAGACGTGGGAAGGGCAAAGAATTCTGTTGCAGGAAGAGCTCAAGAGTCAAAGAGACAAGGTGACAGTGCTGCAGAAAGAAGTTACCAAAGCGAAAAATCGCCAAAATCAAATTGAGGTCAGCTACTAATTGTAGAAATAAGCCTTTGAACATGTTAGGTCTTGTCGTCTTAAGATGTCTATCGTTAGCTATCAGCAATTCACTATATTTCTCATCTGATATATCATATCCCTTCCGTCACATACTTATTTCACTCTTTAGGATACCTGTATATCGCCGTCTACATTATTAAGGAATGCATGAGGTTAAGGGGAAAAAGAGTGATTTTAGTCTATATGCTTTGCTTATTCTACTGTATCATTCTGGTTGGAAAAAGCTTAGTGATAGAATCATACTCAGCTCTTGATTACGACTGATGTTTCTTATCAATAGCTTTTGGCCGAAAGGCTTGCATTTTAGTTGCAGAAGTTGATGAAGATTAACTAACAAAGATTGAAATTGCACTGCAGGTTAGTTTGAAACAAGAAAAGACAGCGAAAGGGAAAGTCGTAGCTCAGGCTTGCGCAATAAAGAAAGAAAGAAAGGAAGTTGAAGCACTTGGAAAAGCAGAAGAAGAGCGGATCAAAGCGAAAGCAGAAACGGACGTGAATTACTACATAGAGAACAACAAAAGACTTGAAAGAGAGATCGCAGAGCTGAAACTGAAATCAGAGTACTCGAGAATAGTGGCACTGAAGAAAGGAGGCAATGACTCAAAGGCAACAAAGAGAGAGAATTATGGGATGACGAAAGTGAAGAGAGAAAGAGAATGTGTCATGTGTTTGTCTGAAGAGATGAGTGTGATATTCCTGCCATGCGCTCACCAAGTTCTTTGCTTTAAATGCAATCAGCTTCATGAGAAAGAAGGAATGATGGATTGTCCGTCTTGTCGTGGGACAATCCAAAGGAGGATTCAAGCTCGTTTCTCTCGCACTGGGTAAAACTTTCTTTCTTTCTCACTTCTCACTTTAAAACTCATAGAACAGTCTCTCTCTCTCTCTCTCTCTCTCTCTTGAAGAACACAGCTTTTGGTTAGAGACCAGCTTGGCTTTTGCGTTTGTACTTTTGAAAGGTTTAAAATACACATGGCTTACCTCGTGGTATTTATCCATGTTTGCTCTTTTTGTCAAAAAAAATAAATGAATGTTTGCTCTTCGTATTTTATCTGTTACCAACTTACCATTACTCTCATAATCGTTTTTATTTTGTTTTGACGAAAACAAAAAGTTCTAAGGAATATTCCAAAATACCAAAACGATAACTTGGTTATTCTAGAGGCCTTTTCTCGATTGTTTAGAAAAACATCTTGGTGATAAAAAAATGTTATATTTTCCTAGAACGTTCTTTGATTTATTATATCTGTGGTATCGTATGGTCGTAAAAGTTTTTTTATTGTTAATGGTGTTTGTTTCGGCTTGTTGATCGTTATTTATCTTATCCTTTAAGTTAAAAAAGGAAGTTTCGGATAATCAAAATTTGTACGATTTCTATTTCTGAACGACAGCACAATAAATTGACATGAGCTGTGTAATGTCGTATAGAAATTTGCTTCATGTGGAGAGCAATAAAGTAGAGTATAATTTGGGAATAGGTAACCCAGATTTGACCATGGATTAGATTGTAACTACTGTATTTGGCGGCGATTGACAGATTCTACAAATTCTTTCCTGTATACTTTCCATTTTTCCAAGCGAAATCATTTTTGAACTGAAAGAAAAAAAAAGAATTGAAAATTGGGCCGTATACTATTATTGAATAAATAAAGTAATAAGATACCATGATTATCCGAATATATTTAAATGAAATGATAACGCTTAGTCTGTAAAAAAAAATGGCGGAAAAAATGGCTTGGTGAAAATCGCTTTCTCGGTCGAGAATACGAAAGAAAATCAAAGGCGAACGAGTAAGAGAAGTAGACGAGAAGACAAATTTGGAGAGAGAGAGAGAGAGAGAGTCGTTTTTGTTGATATCATCCGCTTTCGATTGAAGTCAAACACTACTCAGAGATTCTTCATCGATAGAGAGATCGATCTGATTCAATCGTCGGATGTTATTTCTGCTCGTCGGTGGTTATCGAAGGAGATGCTCCGTGGTTGAGTCGGAGGTTTTGGTGGCCGTTGAGGCAGGCGGTGATGACGGTGGCGGTGGATGACCGAGTGAATTAAGGGAGCGATGTTCGCAGTTCGGTTTTAATCTTATTTTTCGTTGGTTGTGAGTTCGTTGCTCGTCGTGGTTACTCTCTCTTAGGTTGTGGTTAGAAGATGATGAAGAAAGGGAAAGGGAAGAATAGTGGCTTGTTACCGAATTCCTTTAAGATTATATCTTCCTGCCTCAAAACTGTATCGGCCAACGCCACCAACGTTGCGTCATCGGTTCGTTCCGCCGGAGCGTCCGTCGCCGCTTCAATATCCTCTGTTGAAGATGATAAAGATCAGGTCCCTTAATTTTACTCCTTGATAGCTTTTTGTTGTGCGCAGGTTTTTGCTATTTTAATAAGCTATAACATATTTGGGATTCTTTCCTGTTTGGAACCAGTAGTGAAGTGGTGGTTGGTGGATTATTCGTAGTCTCTGCAGAGGACTGAGATGCATAGGATTAGTTACAAATTGCGTTTGCTTCTTTTCTGATCTGTAATTCTGTGCTGAGTTTGTTAAGTAATTATGGTTGTTTGATTGCGAAATTGAAATGTCTAGTTCCTTTTCCCTGTTAAAAGTTAAAAGCTCAGTGAAATGGGGATTGCAATATTTTCAATTGTAGATAAGGAAAGTGAATACATGTATGGCCTGTGTCTCATCTAATCTGTTTTGTTCTCTATGTGCATCTCTCATCGAACTTGTGTGGTATCTGAACTTTGCTTTCATGAGCAGGTGACATGGGCTGGCTTTGGCCTTCTTGAGATGGGTCAACATATCATCAGACATGTTCTCTTACTCGGTTATCAGAATGGCTTCCAAGTCTTTGATGTTGAAGACGCCTCTAATTTCAATGAACTGGTCTCCAAACGTGGTGGTCCAGTTTCATTCTTACAGATGCAGCCATTACCTGCGAGGTCTGGTGATCATGAAGGTTTTGGTAACTCACATCCTCTTCTGCTGGTTGTTGCTGGGGATGATACAGCTGGCACGGGTTCAGGTCACAGTGCAGACTCTTCCGGGGATGACATCAATTATCCTACCACTGTTCGCTTTTACTCCCTTAGGTCTCACAGTTATGTATACGTCCTGAGATTTCGGTCTTCTGTTTGCACGATTAGATGCAGCTCCCGAGTGGTAGCTGTTGGCCTTGCAACTCAAGTGAGTATCAGTGTGCTTCAAGATATTTAGATTCGTGTGAAAAAAATTGTTCTATACTGATAGTATTTCATCTTGTTTGATTGGTATTTGGTCTTGAGACCAAACAAACTGTGCACTGCTTCCATTGAATGTAGTATCTACAGTGCGAGTATAAATTTATACTAGAGTGTAACAGATAATCTTTTGTTTTGATGTCTTACACTGATTATTTCCTTGTGCAGATATATTGTTTTGACGCACTTACTCTGGAAAACAAGTTCAGTGTTCTCACCTATCCTATTCCTCAGCCAGTGAGACAAGGGCCAACTGGGGTTAATGTTGGCTATGGTCCGATGGCTGTAGGTCCAAGGTGGCTTGCTTATGCTTCCAGAAGTTCCATGACCATGAAAACAGGGCGCCTAAGTCCACAGCATCTTATTTCTTCGCCCAGTGTCAGTCCAAGCAGATCGACAGGTGGAAGTAGTTTGATGGCCCGGTATGCAATGGAGTCTAGCAAGCAGTTAGCCAATGGACTAATCAACTTGGGGGATATGGGATACAAAACATTGTCAAAATACTACCAAGAAATGCTCCCTGATGGATCTAATTCTCCAGCATCACCAGATTCAGTCTGGAAAGTTGGTGGGGTTGCTGGATCCGATCCAGAGAATGGTGGAATGGTTAGTTTTATTCTGATCTGAACATCGTGAGCAATTCTTGAGTCACATTAATCTCTTTCATTAGAGTCGTCTAGCAGTCATTGCTCAGGCTTTGCAGAGATACTTCAAAGCACAAAGTTACCAATTGCTTTCTGACTCGGGTTCCTGAATCACATATCGTAATCAGTAGTCACTTGCTTCGAGCTTTGTTCCCTTGCTAGTGTTTTGGTTTATGCATTGCCAGATTGTGATACTTTTTGAATGTTCGTGCAACAGGTTGCTGTCAAAGATCTTGTTTCTGGAGCTGTCGTATCACAGTTCAAGGCCCATACGAGTCCTATCTCAGCACTTTGTTTTGACCCTAGTGGAACCTTATTGGTTACTGCTTCAGTATGTGGGAACAATATAAATGTCTTTCAGATCATGCCATCTCGTTCACATAATGCACCTGGTGACATAAGTTATGAGTGGGAATCTTCTCATGTGCATCTCTTCAAGCTGCATAGGGGGATCACTTCTGCTGTTAGTATAGATTTTAAGTTGATATATGTCCTTTATTTATAATGTGCCCTTTTCTTGATTGGAAATTTTCTGCCCTTTTTGAACAGATTGTCCAGGACATTTGCTTTAGTCATCACAGTCAGTGGGTGGCTATTATTTCATCCAAGGGCACTTGCCATATTTTCGTTTTAAACCCATCTGTCAGCGATGCTGGGTTTCTGCCTTCAAATTGTGAGGGTGAGGATCCTGCCCGACTTCCAGCTTCATCTTTGCCATGGTGGTTTACTCAATCCTTGTCAAAGAATCAGCAGTCTTTATCGCCTCCACCAGCTGTTGCCCTTTCTGTAGTAAGCAGAATAAAGTATAGCAGTTTTGGGTGGCTTAACACAGTAAGCAATGCTGCCACTGCTGCAACTGGAAAAGTATTTGTACCATCGGGTGCCGTGGCTGCAGTTTTTCACAATTCTGTTACTCGTGACTTACAACGGAACTCCCGGACTAACTCGTTGGAGCATATATTAGTCTATACTCCATCAGGCCATGTGGTGCAGCATGAACTTCTGCCATCCGTTTGCACAGAACCACCTAATAATGGCTCGAGAGTGCAAAGAACATCACATGTTCAAGTTCAGGAGGATGACTTGGGGGTCAAAGTTGAGCCTATTCAGTGGTGGGATGTATGTAGAAGGTCTGACTGGATGGAAACAGAGGAACGACTTCCCAAAAGTATCACTGAAAAGCAATACGATTTGGTCACAGTCTCAGGTAATTTGCCACTCCATGACGATGCAAGACTTTCTCTTGACATCAATAGCCATTTTGGTGAAGGATTGAAAACTTGTTCTGAGAAGGCCCCTGAAAGATCCCATTGCTATCTTTCTAACTTTGAGGTAAAGGTTACCTCAGGGATGCTACCAGTGTGGCAAAATTCGAAGGTAGTTTTATCTGTCAAAATGTCTCATCTTCTTGCTTATAGCTGTACTTGTCTCTTGATTTTTACTTTCTTGTTGTGGTGCTAGATTTCTTTTCATGTGATGGACTCTCCAAGAGACCAAGGTTTCAGTGGTGGAGAGTTTGAGATAGAGAAGGTCCCAGCCCATGAACTTGAAATAAAACAGAAAAAACTGCTGCCAATTTTTGACCATTTCCACAGCACCAAAGCAACAATGGAAGACAGGTAGTCACAAAATTTTTCTCTCGTCCTGTGTTATGCATTTCTTAGACGAAATTTTCTAGCTGGATAAGATTTCTAACGTGATTATTTACACCTTGTGCCTTCTCTATTCCAGAAGTTTTCTTTGATCTGTATATCTTATGCTTTGTACTATGGAACGTTTGACATAGGTTTTCGATGAAATGTTATCACACATCCGCATCGGGATCTCATCAAGTTAATGGGAAGATATGCCAAGATATAATCAACTGTCACTCTAAGCCAGGATCAGTCGAGTCCGCTGAAAGTTCTGAAGAAGGTAAACTGCTATTCCTTTCCCTAGTACTCATCAATGTGGTTGTTCATCAGTTCTTAAGATAAAATATTCCCAAGGGAAGAGATTTAAATCTAGCGTTGTTTTTTTTCTTCAAAGCCATGTGTCAGTAACCATTTGGTCTAATTGAAATAGGTTCATCAAAACTGATGGAGAATTTCCATGATTCGGATCACATGAACAACTCATTCAAGTCTTCTTTAACCCTATACCCAAAAGTAAATGGGATCTACAAGGAAATAGAGAAGAAGAACAAAAATGGGTTGGTTGAGAAACCTGTGACAGCCAAATTCATTCCAACCGAAGAAACCCGGTTGGGAAAGCACATGACAAATGGCTGGACCACACCACCTGTTCACACCAATATTACTGTCGATGAACAGATGCTCCCTACTGGACAATCTCCTGTGACCTTTGGTTTTGCTTTGCGTGAAGAACACTGTAAAGCATTAGCCGATCCAAAAGACGGCCACCTGGAGAACGGCAATGGTCATCATCTAAACGTAAACAACAACACAGAGAAATTACAAGGAGATGAGATGGTGGTATGTGGTATGGTTTCCTTTGTAGGCGATTAAGTCTCTCTGAACCACAAGCATATCCTCGGGTCTCTGTATAATCTGTACGGTAAATCCTCCACACACGTCTAATGATGTTTATTGTCTAAGCGAGTATTGAGAGAAGCTGACCTCTTTGCTATCTTCCTAATCTTGTGTTTGAAACAGGTAAATAGTTGTCAAAGTCCTGAAGACTTCTGGAGTTTGTAAATTATATAAAGACATGGATTTGGAAGATTTCAAATGATTCGCTCCGAGTTGGTGGTAGTAATTCCTGTCTTTTTCTTCTTTTATCTATAACATGAAAAACAAAAATGTACGTCTTTATAGATGGTAGATTGGTAAATATGGGTGTCGTTGGTGCGTGGCTGTTTCGTATTTGGGTTTTCATGTTGTTTTTAAATCCTTCTTGTGAGCCCTAATCTTTGTACAGATTGATCCATGTGGAGATCAACACTTTCGCCTGAAACCAAACCTCAACAACGTTTCTTTTCTTTCTTCTGGGTGGTTGGTTTTAAGTGATTCTCATGAATTCAAATTCCTTCTCTGGTGATTTTCTCTGTGGCTTATGTTTGCTTCGTGATATGTTTTCAAGAATTTACAGTTGTTGGAATAAAAATCAACTGCTATTAGTGCAAGAGTTGCTTAAATGTAATCATGAGAGTGGTGATTTAATACTAAAACCATGTGATAATATATGAACGATGATGTTTTATTGTGACTTTTTTGTCGCATCATTGATTCATTGCCTTGCTCATGTGCAATCATTTAAAGATAGAATCCGAGTGAACTTATGAACAGCAGCAGGAGGCAAGCAAAGGCAAACCAGCATGCTTTGGTCGCCACCAGATTCAGCTCCTCCCTGAGGCAACAGTACACAAACCTGTGGCGTAGGTCTCAAGTCAATCGGTCCTGCATAAACCGGTTTACCCCATCCAAAATCTGCAGTCTCGTACATATCAAACCGGGTCCATTGCGTTATCATTAGCTTCCCACCAAATTCTAACTTCTTTGGCCTCTTTACCTCCATGTAATCTACAGTGGACCGCAAATAGTCCTCTGTAACTCTTAATCTTGCCTCTTTAACCAACCGCGTTGTCATGGAAACAGAGTCGTTCATAAGACTATCGACAGTGCTCATGGCGCAAGCCAAACACACCACATTGCCGTAAAACCCTTTTCTCAGCTTTAAGGTTTCGAGTTTTGTTCTTACGTTAACCGAAAACGTGAGCCTGAGATTGTAGTCCAATGGCTTCACATCAAGTGCTTTGACCCATGATCTCCATATATGTGCAGCCATTGCATCAAAAGTGCTGCAAACTAAGCTCGAGTCTTGTTTTTGCGCAATGTTTTTAACCCGACACTGAAACTCTTTGCTTATCCTGTAACACTTCTGCAATGGCTTCGTCTCCCACAAAGAGTTCGTCAGGTTCGATCTTTCTTCAATTGGAAGATACTCAAGATGTTGGTATTTCACCATCGGAGGGTTTCTTGGTTTGAAAGCCTCTCTATCCCAAACCGGCTCAGGATCTGCAATCAGTTTTCCGGCTTTCGCAGTAGCAGCCCACGAGGCAAGAAACTGCATAGCTCCAAAACCATCGCACATGCAATGGCAGAGTCTGATCCCAAGGCTAAATCCTCCACAGGTGAAAAACGTTACTTGTGCAATAAGCAACGGCATTTCTAGGATTTTGTACGCTTCTTCTCCTGGGTGCTGAAAGATTAGTGGTAACCAAGCTGGGTTTGGCACTGTAAGATCTCCGAGATCAGCTAAAGCCATTAAAGAATTAGCCGAAACCATCAAAGCACCTTGCTCTTCTCCAAAGAAAACTTGTAATTTACCATTTCCCACTTCCCTTAGTCTACCGGAGAGTGGGTAATATGGAACTAACACCTCAGTAAGAGCATCTTGAAGCCGTTTCAGTACCAAAGATTCTCCATTTTTGGGTTGATTGTTGGTTGATCGATAGAAATAGACGGAGGGAGTGAAAACACGGGCTCCGATCAAATCATCTAGGTTTGATAGATAGAGAGTATGGTGAGGAGATTGATCTGCAGGTGTTGGACTTGATGGATGAACACGAAACTTGTGGTTGATGGTTACTGGGATATGGAGGTTAGAGAAATGAAGTTCTTGGATACAAGATTCCATTTTGATAAATTAAATGGCAGGAAGCAGCGGACAATTTGTAGAGAGATTTAAACTAGTTAATCCTGTTTGGTTTGGTTTTGGTGAGAGATAGGTCGCAGGTGTTGTGTATAGTGGTCATGTGTTAGTTGTATCATCCAACAAGCATGGTGAGCTCAGGAAGTTAACAAGATGTGCTTTCAACTTTTGTTAATAATTAGTAACATAACCTCTCTTTGTTTTTTTTTTAAATTGAAAATATAGGATACTTCGAATCTTCGAGTACTCTTTTTGTACATCTGCACTCTTTTTCTAAATCTAGTTTTTTTACTAAAAGCTCAACAAAGTACATATGTTTCCAAAACGGAATGTGATGTGTGTTAGAGTTATTTATTACTTTAGATAATTAAAAAGTTCATAAGACAACAAATTTAAGCTAATGCCACAGTTATTTGTAAAAGAAGAAGAAAAAAAAAAAAATAGAGGTTAATCTGGCCTTCCTAATGAAGTCTCTCTTTTAAGTCATTTGGCAAATAAAGTCAAAATCAGTCAACGGAAAGTGGAAGTAGCTCCGATCAGATTCGTCCGCCCATTTCTGATTTCTCTCTCGCTGCAATTTGATCTTCCTTCCGACTTCCAACTAGTATCAGGTTTGTCGTCGACGAATTTGCCCTCCGCTTTCGCTTCTTGTGCCTTTTGATTCTCGAATCTCTTTGTTCAGCCTCGTAGTGGTTTGGCTGTTGATCTGTTTGATGATAAGGATCTCTGCTTTAGGCCGATCGGAGTTTGTCTTTCGACTCTTGCACCTAGTCTCGTCTACGGAACTAGAAATAAAGTTCATCTTCTTCATCGTTGTTTCAGGCTTTTCTAAGTGATATATAAAAATGTGATTCTCAGAGATTACTATAGTCGTTGTTAGTTACAATCATTTCTTCTTACTCTCGCACTTGGTTTTTTTTTCCGGTGGTTTATTTATTGTCTTTCTTATTAACAGCTCTTGCCATCTGGTTCGTGGGTAAACGTAGCCATGAACACCGTCGTTGCTCAGTTGCAGAGACAATTCCAAGACTACATCGTTTCTCTTTATCAACAGGTTTGTTGCTGAGGAATAACTTCTATGAATATACATTTGGTTTGGATTCTTGAATACTAATGACTCCTTTTGTGGATTCTTTACAAGTGTTGTTTTTGTTATTGACTTCGAGCCTTTTATTCTTGTTGATGTTGGAGTTTAGGCTTGGGTTATAGAGATAGTTTCAGGTTATATAAGATTGTATGCATTTGAAGTTTAAGGTTTTGCAAGATGATAGTGATTTTCTTTGGTTTTTGAAGGGGTTTCTGGATAATCAGTTCACAGAGTTGAGAAATTTGCAAGATGAAGGAACCCCTGACTTTGTGTCTGAGGTTGTCTCTTTATTCTTTGACGACTGTGCAAAGCTTATAAATAACATGTCTAGATCGCTGTAAGCTTCTTCTTTTTTTTTTTACTATTTTAGGCTTTCTCTGTTTTGTGTAGAATCCTACCGTAGCTTTTTGTGAGTTTATATTTTCACATCAGGGAGCAGCCAGAAAATGTGGATTTCAAACAGGTGGATTCAGGGGTGCATCAACTCAAGGGTAGTAGCTCAAGGTATGTCTTCGATTTCTCTTTTTGTTTGCCTTATCCATAATCATGTTGTCGTACGGAGAATGGCTCAGTCTCTCTGCTTTGTACTCAGTGTTGGTGCAAGGAGGGTCAAAAATGTGTGTATTTCCTTCAAGGAATGTTGCGATGTTCATAACCGTGAAGGGTTAGTGCTGTTTACAAACAAGTTGTCACATTTTTCTCCGGTGCAAAAGTTTATTGGTTCTGTTGTTATATGTTGCTGCAGGTGTTTAAGGTGTTTGCAGCAGGTGGATTATGAATATAAGATGTTAAAGACCAAACTTGAGGATCTATTTAAGGTGAGCTTTAAACCTACTTGTTCTGCTGGTGGATTCCTTTCAGTGAACTGTTCTACTGAGCCATTTGCTACTTCTCATAGTTCTGTTTATGTCATGTAATGTTGTTGCAGCTAGAGCAACGGATCCTCCAAGCTGGAGGTACGATTCCTCAGGTGGATATAAAGTAGACCGTTGCAACTTGTCACTTGTAATCATCTCATAGTTTCTTCCATTTGTATTTGGGAAAGGAAAAATAATAATAATGATAATTGATATTTACTCAATCGAACTATCTAGATAACTTGCGTATTCTTATGAATGATCTTTGGTATTTGAAAAATAACCAAGTAACGCTATGAAAGTACAGTTTTGGTCGTGTTAATGGTGGGTTTGCACCAAACCCCATCAAGGGCCCAATTCAAATAACATCCAAGCCCAATCAAATCTGAAAGGAGGGAAGAAAGAAGAAGGTGGAGATAGAAGAAGGAGATTAAGCCACATCATCAAATTATGGAAGGTGCTCTACAAAGTTTAGGCTATAAATAGAACGTGTAATATTAGTTGATGGGACATGAAATTCAGAGATTAGAGAGCTAAATACCAGTTTACTGTGCTTTCTAGTTCATCAGGTCAGTCTGTAATCCAACGCGCAGTTCGGAGTCGGGATAGGCAACCCTCCCGACCTCCTCTTCTAAAGACATTGCAGTTCGATTCTTTTTCCTATCCTAAATAACGAAATATTCCGACCTTCAGCCTAACAAACTTCAATTATAAATCAGGTCACCTAACTTACCATTTACAGGTCGCAAACTTAGTTATAAAAAGGACACCTTGTAAAATTGAAGATTCGTTTTGCATTTTTTTTTTACGAAGCTTTCGTGATTTCATCTGTTACATTGACCATCAACCATAATTTAATGCCTGAGCATGTGGTTTATAGTATACGAGTTGAAATTTGAGGAGACCAATTAAAGTTGATGTGGGGTCCCAACAAAAAAACAGTTAGGATTTGACAAAACAAACGAGAAAGAACAAACAAACCACGGAAGATTCTGTAAGTTTCCTATTTTTCAAAAAAAATAACTAATAATAATAAGGCTATTTTCAAATCCCTTGGGAGTGGTATGGTGGAAATTATGTGTATTGATTTGAACGCAAGGCTGTTTCTAGATTCTAAGCAGATAAAAATGTTGACCTAAAACTAAAAGGAGAGGGTTTTGGACATGATTAAAGTTACTGATGAAATACACAAAAAGACAGATGACTTTGCTTTCTCTGTGATTCTTGCATTATTTATAACTAAGATCCATAAACATTTGACATTTTATTCTGACCATCATGTCTTGGAATTTTCAGAATCATTCTGAACCTCATCGACTCTCTATGTGTTTGTGCTTTTGGATGAAGACGTCAAGCAAAAGGATATTAGAAGATCATTTGATTATGTCCTGGATTAATCAACAATGATTTATTTGGGTAATGAATACTTGATCGTCTCTTCTGCGCACATTATTAGTTATTCTTATAGCTAGGGCTGATAGGAATTGATTGTGACAATAAACTGAGAATAAATTGGTCATGTTTTGTTAGGTATGTATTAAATAAATTGTCCTAACCTCGAACTAGCTAGGGATGAAATAAAAGGAAAATGCAGAAATAATAATCTTAGATTGTTTATAAGTGGAATAGAAATGTGAAGCCATGTGTTTATAGTAATAACTAATAAGTTGATGAAGATTTATAATTTACGAGTATGTGAAGTGAAAGAGACTTGTGAGGATAAATTAAATTGAAGGCATGGAGGCGTGTAACAGCAATAACAAAAGCCTTAAGTTTGTTTCCCTTGGGATCGTTTATCTTATCAGCTTTCTTCCTCCCTCTTCGTCATTTTTGGATTATTATATTAAGTCTCTCAGCAAAGGTTTCTCAATTCATTGTTTTAAGATTCTGATTAGGATCTGGAGAAAACTAAACCGATTTAAAAGTCAAATCAAATCTTATTTCCGGTTATGAGCCAGTGCTCCTACTTTCTTTGGTGAGAGGATTCGAGAGCACACCAAAACAATCACAGAGTCCCAAACGAGTGTGTTAATTGTCTCGTGGTGGACCATCTCTTATATTTCTAGGGGTTAAGACCTTTTTTGTTCATTGTGATTGGAACTTATTGCTTTGGCTTTCTTGCAAAGCCAAATTTCCTTTTTATATATGTAATTTGGTCCACCACCTAATCTCGTAGAAGGAGTACCATATATAATTTCGTTTTATGCATATTATGAGTGACCAACGGAATCATTTATTTGAAACGTATAAAAGAATTCACGACTATGGTTTACTTGTTTTCAAGTTAATGTGGAGCTACATTTACATATGAAACTACATATAGTAATAGATAACATCAAAACTATCGACGAATTAACAAAGATCCCAAAGAAGCAAAAGCTTGTACAGGTATATATCGAGCTATTTTGATGCTTGCGTATGTAGTGAACATATGTTAAAATTTGGCTTAAAGTAAGGTGTGATAAAATGTTGACAATCTTCTGCATGTGTGTTTGTTATGACTTGTGGTCCAAGCTCCTATTCCATTTCTGCCTCGATTCTTACAATTACTCGTTTTACATACAAACAACAAGTTTTTTTTTTGCTTTTGTATTCTCTCTATATTTACCGGATTCACTTTTACTTTAAAAAAAAAAAATGAATCTGCGATGCATTGTCCCAACTTTTACCCAATTATCTTTCTTTACGCCCACGGAATTGAAGGACCATTATGCCAGCTACCTTTGTGAAATTTATACAGTTGGTGGCACAGCCTTTTCAATTTTGCTTTCACTATCTAACATGTCATTTCTCGTATGTCTTTCTTATCTTTATTTTGATTGACGAGTGAATCTAATAAAATTGACAAACATTTTTTTGATGCTTCGACCATAACTTCATTTAGTTTATCCGGAGACAAATCCAGCAAATATAACAACAACTGCTTCCGATTATTCATTTATTGAGGACTTACTTTATGTCTGTATCTTCTTTCTCCTTTTTTTTGGTCGAAATTAGAGTTTAGAGATTATGATATTTGGTAGCAAGATTTGTTGAAAGTGGATAGTACAGTTTGAATATAACACATTACAAATTTGAGTATTCGTTTTGCCTTTTTGACTAAGCTCATCTGTTACGTTGAAAAAATATATTAACAATGAAGTGGTGGTTAACTGGTTATTGTGTAACAATGTGGTCGTACAATAAAGTAATGAACGAACCATAAAGCTGACGTGTCACGGAATTCTCGCTCGGCCAAGCTGTCACTCGAAACTGTGAAACTGAACTCACACACAAGTCACGTGACGAACCTCTATGATATCTCACCGAACCTGCTGATCTGTTTTTATCCGAACCCAAGGCTCGGACAGCCGTTTTACCAATTTACCTGTTCCCCATAAAAAACGCAGATAAAAAAACACCTTTTTTCATGTTTTCACTGACACAACCCAAATGTATAACCTTTCTTTTTTTAGCATTCTTTTTTCTTTTGTCCGATTTCATTAATTTCATATCGTCGTCTTCCATCACAAGCCACCAAAGAAAAGCAGAGAAACAAAACGAGCAAAGAGGAAGACCAAGAATATTCACCTCTTGTTTTTGGCTTGTATCTTCTATGAGATAGTCTCGTATATTGTCTGGAAGTACTTTTGGAAGTTTTCCTTTTTTTTTTAAGAATTTGAGAATATCTCATTAGGTTAACGTAGAGCTGTTTATATACCTTGTAATATTGATTAACTCTTCCACCGTATCTTTCTTTGTTCAGGCTTCCTTTTCAAGCCATTGATTAACTCTTTCTCTTCTCTCGAAAAACCTTTTTTTTTTACACTTTTTAATCGTTTGATAATCCGCCATTAAAGCTCTCACGGAAGCTCCAACCAGAACACCTCCACTTCCACCACCACTACATGGCCTTCCTCTCACGAGAAATCAGATAATAAACCCAATTTTCTCTACTTTACAGCTTGTCTCTGTACTTCCCTTTTGGGTATATATACTCTCTGCTTCTCAAGGCTGTAACGGCTAAGTCTGAAGAAGAAGAAGAAGAAGATGAGATTTACACAGTTGAATTGGTGTTTGGTGTTTCTGCTTACACTCGGGTTCTTAGCGGAGGCGATTCTCGACCCAGTTGATTTCTTGGCTCTGCAAGCGATTCGTAAATCGCTCGATGATTTGCCCGGCTCCAACTTTTTCCAGTCCTGGGACTTTACCTCTGATCCCTGCGGCTTCGCCGGCGTCTACTGTGACGGCGATAAAGTGGTTTCTCTCAATCTCGGCGATCCCAGAGCCGGGTCACCCGGTTTGTCGGGTCGGATCAACCCGGCGGTTGGGAAACTATCTGCGCTCACGGAGTTCTCCATTGTCCCCGGCCGAATCATGGGTGCTTTACCGGCAACAGTCTCTCAGTTGAAAAACCTCCGATTTCTCGCAATCAGCCGGAACTTCATATCCGGCGAGATTCCGGCGAGTCTTGGCGAGGTTCGCGGTCTCAGAACTCTCGATTTGAGCTACAATCAGCTGACCGGAACTATTTCTCCGTCAATCGGATCCTTACCTGAGCTCTCCAATTTGATTCTCTGCCACAATCACTTGACCGGATCAATCCCTCCGTTTCTCTCACAAACTCTAACTCGAATCGATCTCAAACGCAACAGCCTCACCGGCTCAATCTCTCCGGCGTCTCTACCTCCGTCGCTGCAATACGTCTCACTCGCCTGGAATCAGCTAACCGGACCTGTGGACCGCGTTTTGCTCCGGTTGAACCAGCTTAACTACCTCGATCTCAGCTTAAACCGATTCACCGGTACAATCCCCGGCCGAATCTTCGCCTTCCCGATCACAAACCTCCAACTACAACGTAATTTCTTCTACGGATCGATTCAGCCGGCGAATCAAGTGACGATCCCAACCGTCGATCTCAGCTACAATCGACTATCTGGTGAGATATCTCCGCTTCTCTCAAGCGTCGAGAATCTCTACCTGAACAGCAATCGGTTCACCGGAGAAGTTCCGGCGAGCTTCGTGGAAAGGCTATTATCGGCGAGTATACAAACGCTGTATCTGCAACATAACTTTTTGACGGGGATACAGATTAGCCCGGCGGCGGAAATCCCGGTGAGCAGCTCGCTGTGTCTGCAGTACAATTGCATGGTTCCGCCGTTACAGACGCCTTGTCCGGTTAAGGCCGGCCCACAGAAGACTAGGCCCACTACACAATGCAACGAATGGAGAGGGTAGTTTGGGGATTACGCATTTTAATTGATTTTCGATCATTATATTATATTGTTTTTTTTGTTTTTATAGTTTTATATATAGTTTTTGAGGGACACAGTGTCTCAGTGTGTTGAAAAGAAGAAAAAAAGAAAGAAGAAGGATTCGTTTATTCGTTGGTGTGTAGAAGAAGCGTCTTTGGAATAAGGATTACATTTATGTACGTGAGAATCAAAGTATGTCTCACACCATCCATCTATTTTTGTTGATGAAAATTGGAAAATGACGACTCTGGTTGTAATACGAAATAAGAACTGTATTTATGAACACAATCAGAAGAAAATGGAGTGGGGACTGAGGAGGACTGGGGAGTATATGCTTCAGTTTCCAAATTCATAACCATATTTGATAAAAGGGAAAACAGACATTTTAAATTTGTAAAAGCAGAACAAAAAAGGGAAGATGAGTGTGATGGTTTTGGAGTAGCTTCTTTAAGATTTTTTGAAGGGGACGAGGTTCTTTTGTTCTTATTAAAATAAATACTGACAAATTAATTTCTCTGTTAACAAACAAAAATTAGTGGAGCTATCTTGAATTTCCTAGTCTTAAATGTTGATGTTAACACTTGACCGGAATAAATTATTGATGTAACACTCAAAAAATATCTAGAAACGCTTAACAAAACAAAACAAAATATCTAGAAATGAAATGGATCATCTGTAGACTGATAAACGCGAAACAAATTATATAAAACCAAAACTGTAATATCCATAAACGACAACTGATAATCATAACTCCGAAATTATGTTTGAATTATAAGTTTAAAAAAAGATAACGAAAAGTTTTGACTAAAAAGGAGAGATAGAAAATAAAAGGGATAAGAAGAATGATAAGTTGCTTCTTGCAGATTGAACACTTGAACCGCAACTTCTGTATGCAAAATCTCTTACTTTACGAAGAAGTTGAGCCTATCTCGAAGATTGGCTTAGGATGCCCTCGAGCCGGAGAAGGTGGCCTCTCGCTGTCCAGCTACAAAACAGTACTTAAAGCTCAGTGGACCACATCATATATTTCATCTAGAAACACACATATATAAAGGTCTGGTTCTGATGAGAGAGTAGAAGAAAAGAGCTTATGTTTTACCTCCAACCATGCTTTGTCCGGAGTGTCTTCAGGTGAGATGGGAGGTGGAAGAGGGTGAATCAACTTAGGAACAACGAGCAAATCTCTACCAATTACCAGTATGGCTCCAGCATTTTGAACAGCTCCTGTTTATCACAATATTATCACCATGCATGTTTAGTGTCTCTTCTTTTTCCAAAGCCTAAAAGCAAATGCCACCAAGAGAAATTAAAGTGTTTGTAAAGGGATAATAATAACGTACCACAGTAGTTTGTAGCAGAAAAAACAGTAATCAGCTTTCCTCCCGCAAATCTTTCGAAACCATCCATTACACACTCATGAGCTCTTATGATCATGTCTAACTTATTCCTCTCGCAAAATGCCTTGACTACATCAGGCTGCATGCATATAACAAGATTATGACAATTAGTAATCGAGCTTGAAATGGTATATCTAATAATAGAGATGAAAAAAACAGAGATCCTAAACCCCAAAGGAGACAATAGTGGGTCCTCTGGCATTTCCTCGTACGCCCAAGAAGCCATCATTCTCTGTAGGATCAGACCTGTTTTTACCATGTAGAAACAATATGTTATCACAGCTTGGGGAAAAAAAAGATTAAGAAACATTAGAAGAGAGAATGCTGTTTTTAGTTACCATAATAAGTCTTTAACAACTCTGGCCGATTCATATTGGCAACCCATGTAAACGGGCCTCTGAATTTTATCAATCTGTTCCACGGATTGTACAGAGGAACCAATCCCACCGTGCACACAGAAAATCTTCTTCTGGATGAGCGCAGCAAGCGGAAGATGATTGAAAAGATCATTCACCAAGGAAAATGCTCCTGACCCTTTCCTGTCCAGCTAAATTACACAGAGAACCATGCATGATTATAAGAACATACTATGCAAGTAGAAAATATATATATTCTGTGAACAGAAACGTACAATTCTTTCTAAGCATTCTGCTTGGAAGCCATAGTTTAAATTCACCTCGCAAGACTCGTGATTTCCACGAATCAAGTGGATGCTCTTCGGATATTCAACCTGCACAAGAGACACATGCATCTTAGAAGATTGAACAATAAAAATATAGGTCATGACGTAAAACCAGAATATTGATAAATAACTTGCCTTCAAAGCAAGCAGCAAAACGACGGTTTCCAAGCTGTGTTTCCCTCGGTCAACATAATCTCCCAAAAACAGATAGTCGATATATCTGAAGAGCCATACGTACATATACATTAGTCACTGACCAGTATTCATGAAACGAAACTCACAACCATTAGTTAGAAAGACATGAATATTTGGTATTGAACTTACGAGATATCTGTTGAAGGACTTCCATACTCGTGAAACAGCCGCATCAGATCTCCGAACTGTCCGTGGAGATCTCCAAAGACTTTAATCGGAGCATTGAGTTGCAGGACAGTTGGCTCTTGTATGATGATCTTTTTTGCAGCGCTACACAGCTCAGCCACTTCATCGTAGCTCAGGAAGAATTCTCTAGAGGCTGGAGGTTCCCAGCTTTGAGGTTTCAAAAGAGTCGAAATGACCTGTGTGTGATTGTGAAAAGCAAACATCGTAAGTGCATGAAAATGGGAAGATAGGAGAAAATATAATTTATCTTTTCAACCACATATATACCTTTTGCACCAAGTCTTTAATAACGACTTTTATGGTGACCGGAGGCAGAGAACTGTATCTCATGAGCCGCCCCCTCGGATCCTCAAACCGGTCCAAGCTTAGCTGTCTCACCAAGCCACCCCGGTTCACATTTCGCTCGTTTGAATTCACACCCTATATTACACGAGATATATAGTCAAGCCATGTGAGAACCCTATATTATTAAGTGCAAATTCCAGATATTCTCAGTTATTAAATCAAACACAATCCGACATTACATCTATTAAGTATCAACTTTCTATAGAGAGAGAGTGGGAGTGAGTGAATATAAGGAATGAACATACAATTGGCTGTTGTACTTGAGCAACTCCTATATGTAAGTTTGCCAATCTATCCATTGTACTTTCGCTCAAGCTGAGAAATATGATTATGGAAGAAACAAGGATATGTGATCATGTTTGGTTAACAACGGCATAGACCAAAAGAGTGTAAGAAGTAGGATTTACATATATACCTTCTGCTCATCCTCCTCAGCACAAAGGGTTGGATTGCTGGTTGAGGTCCTTGAGAAGGTACAAGCTGGGGTATTATACCATCGTCAGAAACTAGCAAATCGCACAGAAACTCACCTACACGATAGTAAAATATTTTTAAAAATTGTTACTTTTGCTTAACTCAAAAAGAAGATGAAATCTGCTTGAGGAATACCTTCTCGCAGTCCCCCATGCACATATACGAGGCCGGCATAGGATGCAGAAGCATGGCCATAACGTTGCACAAGATATTGTGGATAGCCACCCAACCATTCACCATTAGTTGTATTAAGCACTGCAAACATAAAAACAAAAAGGATTAAACTTCTGTCTATGCGCTTAAATGAAGGACAACTCAAACTGTGACCATTGGTTAAAGCTGCAACAGAAGATAGATATGGTATTACCTACAGCAGCTGCCTCAGCATCGATTAGGCGAGTCGGACTCAACACACCCCCAACCACATGTAGTCTTGGACCTACAAAAACCTGATTACACAGACCATCAAGTACTTCAGGACTATTATTTTATAGTTTGCAAAGGATAAGCTAAAATAAATATTGTGTGTGGCAAGATTTTGATTCTGACCGCTGAATGTTGAAATCTACAGGTAGCATCTACTCCTGCAACAGGAATCCACACCCAACGACCATCATCCCTACGGAATTCCAGCCCAAAAGCATCTCCCAGTGGCTGCAATGCAAATTAAAGGAAAGCATCACATAGTGACTATATATATATATATGTGCTATAAATTCTTGGATATCGGAAAACAAGAAAAAGAAGTGTTGGTTGTTATAGTAAACAAGGAAAGAAAAATCATACACTCCCATTGCAGTCTCTTCCGCCGCAGAGCATAAAAATATTATCATCTCGAGTACTAGCAGACGAATACCTTGCGCAAAATATCAAACAATGAAGAGTTATACACTTATACTTAATACCAAATTGATTTACAGCAGTTACTTAGATAAATCAAATGACTTACATTCTCGGAATTGGCCCAGAGCCATATGGGTACAATCTTTCCCACACAGCTGGTCTCCAAGTCGTATCAAATGCCCATGTATCGCCCAGAAGCATGTGTTCTACTCCATGGACAAAAGGAACATAAACTTGTGACATAAGGAATAATGATACTCAAGAGTTCATTATATATTGTAACTTTCGTTAGAGGAAAAAGGAAACTTATGCCAACATAAATACAAAATGCCAGATACGTATAAGATCACAACCTTTTTAGATTAGGGATTTGTTTGAGAAAAATCCCTCTCTGAGGGAAGCATTAACATAGCATCTAAGTTTTCTTACTCATGCCTCTCCTCTACTATATATATATATGATCGATGAATGCTAATATAAAAAGAAGATAATAGAAAAGCAAAGAGGGGAAAACACAGATATTCGTACCCCTTTTGCCGCCGAAAATGATAACCCTGTGATAAGCGAAACTCATAGCATGGCCAAAGCGAGGGCCTGGATTCAACCCTTGAACATCCAGTCTACACATAAATATTAGATATACACATTAAATGCGCAAAACATTCGATTAAATAATTGCAAAGAAAATTCAATCCATCAATGATCCTCACCTTTGCCACCTGAACTCATTGTTGAAGTTCATTTCAAGAATGTAGAGCTCTCCTGAACAAGGCCCGTCTCGACCAAGCCCACCCTGCCAACGAAACACAACATATTCTCATGGTGTCAGATTCGGTCTAGACGAGTAGCCAACCACAAAGTGTCCCTCTTTTTACTAATTACTACATAAAACCTAACCAGGAAAGATGGTTTGACAATACAGAAATTTGATACAAAATCCTTCTAGATCTATCTATGTTCTACACAATTTATCAGATGAAATGATCAATTTCAATCACCTGAATAGCGAGCATGGTGGTGCCATTTGAAGCCGCTGCATGAAGAGCCCTCGGAGACGGTGGCTCACCATCCGGAAAAACCCTGCACAGTTAAACAAATTTAGACCAACAATAAACAAAACATCTACCATCTTCAAACCAATATGATATAAATCCTCAATTACCTTGTCCACGTCTGGGAGAAAACATCGAAACGATGCACCGAGTTGGTAACACTTTGTAGACCTATAGGAATAAAGAGAGGATTCCGAAATCAAATACAGTAATGGAAATCCGAAAAAAGTCAAAATCGGGGTGTCAGATTAACTTACGGAGCTCGGGCATCGAGGTGCCATCGCTCTCGGCGGCAGTGGTACCGCCGAAGAGGATTAGGCAACCGTTAAGCGCCGTGAGAGTGTGGCCACATCTAGGTCCCGGAAAGTCATCATGGGTCTCGAAGAAGATCTCGAGCGTTACGAAATTAGGAGCTTCGTATTGCCACCAGTTCGCAGAAGCCATGATAATACAAGGACACAGATTCGGAGAGATAAGGTTTTTGAGGCAGAAGACGAAGGTGGCGAAATCTTATCAGGAGATTAGAGTCCATTATATATACCCTAATTTTTTGGTATCTCTCGAGTGCTCTTTTGTTTTGGTAAGCAAATAATGAAGTTTACAGTTGGAGCCAGTTTCTTGAATGCATGCATTTTCGTTCTCTGGCGATGAGTCCAACGGCTAAGCAAGTTTGGAAATACGAAAATACCCATGCTTGAGGCTTTTAATGGCTTGTTGCCACGTTTGCTGGTCGTTCATCAACAATTTTTTCTGATGTACAAAATGGTCTTTTCTGAATTGCTCATAGGAAAACGATGCGTTTTACAAATACGCGGCACATTTCCTTTTTGAGAAAACCAATATACAGTATATGGATTAGTTTCGTGGACCGGACGGTCCGTACCAGAACATAATTTACAGCTTTAAACCGAGACTGTTTCATTCGTTATCTAAATTACAGTGTACCGGCTAAATGCATCAATACTCTTTTTACGGCTAAATTAATTAAGGTATTAACAAGTAAATAAAAATGAAGTTAATAAATTAACAACACAATGTTGGTTCAGATTAAATCTTAAGTGTGGACCTATTAGTTTACTTACCAAAAAGTAAAAACATGAATTCTTTATTAAATTTGAATCAGAAAACTAAATTAATTTTCTTACCAAGTAATGAAATGTTGACCTTTGAAAACTACTATAATTCAAAATGCACTTGTTATTGCGGTATATTTGTAATTTGGTATGTAGATAAATAAATGAATTTATAAATGTTAATGACCATAAGATTTATACATGAACTTTCCAATGACACATAAGTTACAAATTGTAATGACGCGAATTACTGGAAAAGAGAAAGATAAAAACAGAAGAAAAGTGTGAATGGAGGAGAATCCTTTTGCAGCAAGTTACGGCCTTTTTGAGTGATTGAGAATTTCTGACCAACACGAGACTTTTGATACTTTTTTTGTTTTCAAATTGGCAAAGGTTAATAATAACGACCAACAATTTTTGCAGTCCAGTGTTACGTTACCCCATTCACGATCCATCCAACTCTTTAAAGTCTAAACCGGATTTGCCGTTGACCTCCCCTCCGCCTGCCCGTGAACTCTCAACGATGAAGATAGGTCAGCTGTTTTACGGGTTTGATAAACCGTTTAATAACGGTTTGTTACTCTGTTGTTGTTGTTGGCCGTTTTCTCTCTTAACCTGGACTTTCAATTTCTTACCGCTTAATTGGCGACCGTTCATCGTGTCAATAGCGTTTTGAGCAGCTTCTTGTGAGTCGTAACTAATGAATCCTGCGGCAATAAAGAAAAGGATGCGTTTTTATTTTTAACCGCAATTTGAGTCTTGAGAAAGAAAAAAAGAAGGTGGTTAGTGAGATTTTGCTTACCAAAACATTTGCTTACACCAGTGGCCTTGTCTACAAAAACCTTGGCGCTCACAACCTTACCGAATGGTTGAAACGCAGCAGCAAGTTCTTGATCCCCGAATTCCCGAGGTATGTTGTAGATAAACAGATTTGCACCCGCCGGTCCTGAACACCAGCAAAATGTTAGTCTATAGATAGTAGACACAAACTAGCAACAGATTCATGTTTAAGGAGTAAACCTTCAGTTTGAAGCGAGGAAGGTGTTGATGCGCCGTTGTTATAAACGCCATTGGTTAGAGGATGGCGAGGACCGATCATCCCTCTAGGAAACGCCATTGGATAGTGAAGACCATGATAGCTGTAATTTCCAAGAGCCATCGGCAAGTTTCTACGTGCGGCTAAACGCGGAGGAACAGACTCGGTTCCATTTTGGAATGCAGGTTGAGGCTGGATAGGTGGTAGCATGTACCCATAAGTTCCAGCTGCCTGTTAAATTATCAAATATATTACTTTGAAAAGAAAAACTACAAGAACTTGTTGTAAGCAGATGAGAGAAGCAGAGCTTACATGATAGCCATAGCCATTATAAGGAGGAACATAGCTCATGGGTAAGGCTCCAAACAGAGAGGGGTTTTGTGGATCAGAGTTAGGGATTCTGGAGGCATGAGATTGAGCTTTTTGAAGCCTTCGGGCTTGTCTTTCCCTTTCTGTGTCCGCCCATTTGACAACCAAAGGAACATTCGAACCCTAAAACAAACACAAAGAACAACATTAAGTGTCACAACTCTCATCCATACAACTCTTTATATATAAAGTAATATTAATGTTCGAGAAGTTGTATAGCAAGTACACACCTCCATTATATGTTTTCCGTTAATGGCTTCCATAGCAGCGACCGCTTGTTCTTTAGACTCATACTTGAGAAAAACACAGCCTAAGAAAAATCAAAATGAATGTAAAAGTTAGCCAAAACTATATATAGCTGATGCACAATGAAATGATGGATATACCTTTGCTGGTTTGTAGGGACCCTCTTAGAATCTGTAGATCCTTTATGGTTCCGTACTCGGAGAATAAGGATAAGAGTTCAGCTTCAGTGACATTCTTTGGAAGCATACCGACGAAAAGTTTGTGCTCTGGTTTTGCAAGAACATCCACCAGATTAACGATGGTTCCAAAGATATTAAAATGCATAAACTTTTCAGAAAAAATGAAAAAAAAGTCTTTAAACAGAAGCATTTTGCTTACCAAGTCTTTCCATCTCGCCATCTGCATACTTAACTTGCAACGGACTTGATGCCTGAAAATATATATCATAAGAAAGTGAATGTTATAACGCCGGAGTGTATATAAGCAACCTAATGTTCCACATACAGGCCACGGAAAGATTGAAAGAATGAATCAAGTTCTCACTAAACAAGTCATCAATCAACAGGAAGTCAACAAACTGAAGCAAAAGTTTTGTTTGCTCTATGGGTTCCTGTAATCTTAATCCACATATTTATAGCTTTTATTATCTTGCACGTTTAGTGATCCGTACATATCAACTATAGTGAACCAATGTGCTTTCTTGGGTTTGAAGAAATCATCGAGAAAACGTTTTAAACACAATGTCATCAAATTTCCAACAATCAATGCTCCGATCGGGCAGATTCTTATTAACCAAATCAGATTAAATGTCTGAACAACAACATGCAAAACTCTGAAAATAGCCAAATCCGGAGTTAACAAAGGAAAAAAAGTACAATGCAGATCGAGAGACAAAAACGGATAAAAAGAAGGAAAAAGCAATCTCGAGATTCCAACCCGAGTTGAAAAATGTGCAACTAAAGATCAGTTAGTTTAATGTACAGAAACATCATATTCGAGCATCAGAAAATCAACCAAAACAGCTTCAAAAAATGGAAAATATGACATAAAACAAGTCAGAAATAAAATTTTAATTTTGTTTTGAAGAAGAAATTAAAATTACCCCTGGCAATGTCTTCTTGTTATGGCAACCATTGACCACCTTGTCTGCTTCTTCTCTTGAAGGACATATCAGAAAACAACATCCTAGAATTCGAGGATAGAGAAATTAGGGCTTTAGAATCCAAGAATTAAGACGAGATCACGCGAATCTAAAAAACCCTCCAAGTAATCTCGAAAATGAGAAACAGAGGAAACTTTCTTAAAAATAAAAATCGAAATTAAAACGAGGAAGACGGAGAAAACAGAGGAAGAAATGGAAAAACCTCGGGAAGCTCGCGTTATCTTGTCCTTAATGATGTTGACTTCGTCGACGATGGAGAATTCCTGAAACAATGCAAGGAGCTGAGTCTCCGTCATGTGCTTCGGAACTTGTCCGATGAACAGCTTCACCCTCTCTTCGTTCTCCTTCGTCTCCTCCGCCATTGTTGTCTCTCTCTCTCTCTCTTGACTTCTTCGTCGTCGTCGTCGTCTTCTTCTTCTCTCTTCAGGTTTCTTCCTGAATATTTTTATTTACTTTTTGTTTTTGAAAAAATAAATTATGAATGAAAATGGAGAATTTCTGGATGGCAAAGTTGGGTTAAATTAAATACTGACTAAATCTGGGGGCTCGTTGCGATTACTAAATTACGAGATTGCCATCAAACAGCTGTACAAAGAGGAAGGTAAGCCTGTGGGATGCGAGGGAACACTTGGGATTGTTTTGTCTGATTAAGGGCATGTAATGCTGAATTTACGAAATCATCCTTCCTTTTACCCGCGTTTTATTCTACTTTTTTTGAAAAATTGATTATTTTAGCATGGAATGTGACTAATAAAGCTGGCAATTTTTTGGTTTTTGTTTAGATTAGCTGTCAATTTTTTCGGTCTCTGCGTTCAAAATTGAAAATACTAGTTTATGTTTAGACGATTCTCTGTTCTCTTCGAAAAAATTATTCGAAGTTGGTTTATCCTAATATTTTGTATCATTTCAAAATGTAGTTTAAACTGAAATTAAGGAGGGGAAAACAAATTCAGAAATCAATCACTATTTTGTTTCAAACAAACTGAAATTAAATGTAGTCTTCTGCCAGATAACAAGGAGTGTATTTATGAAATAATAAAGTAATTATTTGAATTATACTTTTAATTATATTTTATTTAAAAATAAACTGAAACTTTGTTGAACTGAATCGAAGAATATTGGCAACGTAAACCGAATATTTTTATAAAAAAAACACTTTTAAATAAATTTGTTTCTAGACAGAATAAATACGACTAAACGAGTTGACTGTGGATAATGATATCCATAACGAGAGGTCATTTTCAGTGACAACGAGAAGGTGACAAATTTGCAAGGGTAAAATGGTCAACGTGGGATAAGGGTAGAGTCGAAAATATAAGAAATACGAATGGCAAAAACATAAAGAAGACAGACTGTCCTGCCATTCGCCGAGTCTACAACGGAAACGAGAAACACAAGAGCAGCTCCAATTCTCTGCAACTTGCTGTATAATTAATTTGTTAGATTGCATCAAATTTCACAAATAGACCACTGAGTTTATACAGCTTTACGTTCTGACCCCACATGTTTTTCTGATACGTGCATGTTTTTTTGAAGTGGATTTTGTTTGATTAAGTCAATGAGAAGTATTGCGTATACAAAACTAGCATCGTACAGTATTACTTAAAATACTTGTACTGCTAATAGTTAATAGCCCTCGTCAAATTTGTATACAAAAAAGAAGAAGTTATTCATAAATTCTCAAATCAATCAGCACCGTTGAAAAAGAGAAAATATTTAACTTCTTTCACATTATATCCTCAGAGTCACAAGATTGATGTTGTAAGCTGTTGTCATATTTCTGTCGATAGATGACAATTTGCTAATGGAGTTTTATGCGATCTTCACATTGCTCGATTTTTGGTTTTTCATAGTCAGACTTATCAGATATCCCTCCCCATCTGTCTTTATATATCTCTATAAAAGAACATTATCAGAATCTAGAATAATGATCAAAACTTTTAAACAACTTATTGCAACACACAAAAAAAACTTAGATAAGAAAAGAACAAAAGAATTGACATCGAAAGAAAGAACAATTAAACAAACCAAAAATGAAACTATAGAAACTGTAAAACAAACATCCATGGACTTAGCTATAACTATAATCCTATGAAGCCTTTCGCTAACTAACTTGAGTATACCCTACCTGTCACAGAGTACAAAGATATTAAGGTAAAGTTTCCCAGTTTCGGTTCTCGATCACTCTGTTTTCTCAAGAGTAATGAGCTCTCTGGAAGTATAATCTGTGTTTGGAAGGACCCAGTTGCCTACTACTTTCCCCCAAAGCCCTATCTTCTTAAACTCAAATGGCTTCCACATCTGTTTCTTCCTCTGAGAATCATCACCTCCCTTATTAAGCTTTGCAACAACAGAAGAAACACATTTCTTGAGCTCTGAGTTGTCTTCTTTAAGCATCTGTATAGCTAAACTCATCTGCCTTATAGCTTCTCTCTTCTCTTCATCTTTCTCTCTCACCATTTCACTGTAAACCTTATTCTCCTCTCTCAGCCTCTCTATCTCTTCCTTCATCATCTCATAATTTCCATCATCTCCACCAAATGATTCTGTTTCCTCAACAATCCCATCGGTTTCACCTCCATCGACCCATTTGATCTCACCGTCGTCAACTTCAGACTCTGCGTAGTCCTCATGAGTCTCGCAAGCCTCGGACCAAGAAGACTCATCATCGCAGGTCGATGATTTCTCATGGCTCTCAGATCCATGTTTGCGCACAGAAGATGGCCTCAACAAGTCGTACCTCTCGGCCAAGGAGCGATGTGAGCGGTAGAATTGCTCCACCATAGCTATAAGCTCAGGTCTCTTCTTGTAATACATCTCAGCTCTTGCGGCGAAAGAATCCGCATCCTCATCAATCACTCTCAGCATTTCCTCTGTCTTTTCATCCAATTCTTCAATTACAGAAAATATCCAAACAAAATTCACCATGTCAAGATCTCAATGAAATTAAAAGAGAGTTTTTTCTTAAATTCTTTCACAAAGACGAGAAAGAGAAAAGTTACCGGAGAGAGTAGAGTGAAGCCACGGAGAGAAATTTGTTGTGTTGTGATTTCCAATCCACCACCATTTTGATGACTCCATCACCATCTTTCACTCTTCTTAGAAATTTCTCCACTGAAAATACAAAACAAATAGGTTCTTCAGTTATCTTTTGATATAGCTTCAAAGACTCGCTCTTTGAATCAGCATCTAGTGCGTTTAAGCATATTCATTTCATCCTCAGCAAGACAAAAAAACAGAGAACTAAGACGAAAGGGTCGGACATTACCAACCTCAGTGAAGAATTCAGTTTCCACGCCGTGGAGAACCAAGACAGTGAGACTAAAAACGGCGCCGTTGCTTTCCTCTCCTCGTCTTCTTTCGGCTTTCTTCTTTCTTCTTCTCCGCCTTCTCGATTTTTGTAGTCACAGAGCAATCTTAAGGACACACTATATTAAGGCTTTTTCATTTAACATCACTGTGTTGCCAGTAGCATGTTGCCACGTGTTATATTTAGTGAAACCCATAGCTTCTGGCAATTTACGGAGATACCCCTGGTGAGTTAAGCGGCGGATGACATGGCAGGATTACAGTGTTTATTCCCTAAATTACGTTTTCACCCCTTTATGGATTTTGGATTGGCAGATGTCGTTGGTCAAACGAATTAATTTTTGTCCTGATTAACGATTTTTTATAAGAAAAAACTCTGTAAAAAAAAAGAGAACAGAAGTCACTAGTTTCCTCTTTGTTTAAGAATTTTAAAGTTTAGTAAATGGTGTATGGTAATCGTATCAAACTATCAATGTAGTCCAGATTTTCATATACTGTATGGAGCTAAGAACAGGGGGTACTTTGGGAATTATGTTCAGTTGATAGATACGAAAATATTGTTCATGGCCCCACGGGCCATGTGGGCCGTGGCGAGCGTAACACGCAAAAGGTAATGCTACAACGGTCGATAAATCTCTTTGCTGAACTTTCCATGCTTGGTGAGTTGGTGTAAAGAATAGGACAAAAACAATAAAGAATACTCCAAATAAGACAAGTGAATCCTATTTTTTTTTTCTTTCTAACAAGTTTTTTATTTGTAAGGATGTTAATGGTAACAAATCTTGGCTTACAATAGTGTTTGACGTTAATGATGGCTTAATTTTGCACTATTTATAGATTAATTTTTTAAACAGGCCCTTAAGTTAACCACTATAGATTACAAAGGAATACGGAAATAAGATTCTTTGTTCCTCTTTACTCACATTTCATCAAATTAAGGGGGTAAAGTTTAATAGTAGTTCTTTTTGCAATTAAATTTTCTTGTTTTGTTTTGGAATCTTGACGAGATGAATTAGATTGGAGTCTCTAGATAAAAACATTCTTTATGCATTGGTAAGTTTTAGCTTTTAACACTGGCTCGTGTTTTCGTTGCCACTGCAAAGAAATAAAACGAAACGGCAGCGTTTCAAACGCATCTTAAGTTCTTAACCATGCACATCAACACCCTTACACACACTCTTTCTCCATCTCTTGAGTAATCTAATCCTCTAAAGCTGCTCAAAACTAACAAGAAACAATGGAAACAAACACACTCTTCTCAGTGCAACAGGCTAGATCCACTCCTTCGGGTTGATACAAGCATCCAATAGCTTCCACTCTTCGGTCCCCTCTTCCGGTTTCTGTAATCACAAACATCATTACTACATTGCGATATTCCAATGAGTTTAAGTCTTCACATATGAGAAAGGAACTTACATGATCATATTCCCATCTTGCTGACAGCGGAAGAGAGACAAGAATACTTTCTATTCTCCCTCCTGTCTTCAGACCAAATGTCGTTCCACGATCATACACCTTTCCAATCATTACAAATACATTAGAGAACAAGTTTCATAACCAAAGAAATCGGGGAGATGAGGTGCTTAAAAACAGTAAAAGCTTAGTGTATGATTATAATACCAAGTTGAATTCGACATATCTCCCTCTCCGCAACTGTTGCCATGCCTTGTGCTTCTCTGTGAATTCCGTGTCTTTCCTTTTCTCTACTATCGGTATATAAGCTGGTACCACTGAGTTTGCACATTCTGTGAATCCCAATTACCAAAATTAGTCTACCAAGAAACAAACAGTCGGTCGTGGTTCATTAGAGATTGAAAATTAGTCCATTACCAGTGGCAAACGACAGAAGCATTTCCTGATCATAATCATTAAGATCATCAAAAAATATCCCTCCAAGTCCTCGTCTCTCATCACGGTGCTGCAAGCAATGATCAAAGCGTTTTTAATGATTTCAAATCACTCGCACAAACAACAGGCGTAACAAAGACTCTAAGCTAAGTCCTAAACACAACTAAAAAACTAAGGCCTTCAGTTCCATAAAATGCTTAAGATTTTCACAAGACAAACACACCTTGATGTAAAAGTAGTCATCGCACCATTTCTTGAAACGGGGATAGAAGGAAGGATCGAATTTGTCACAGGCTTGCTTTTGAATCTACGACAAGAAAGATAAGTTTCTATATGAGCAGCTCCATGATCACAAAGCTACTATCTTTAGAACAAGGAATAAGGTAGAGACCGAATGGAAATGCTTGACGTCCTCTTCGAAGATGTAAGCTGGTGTGAAATCAGTTCCACCGCCAAACCACCATTGCCTCGGAGCTCCAGGAACATCTGCGCTTTGCAAAATGAAAAATCAAGTTGTTGTCCAAAGTCCAAACAAAGTATTAACATTTCACATTCTCAAGGATATGATTAATAGCTTTTATATACCCTTTGGAGCATCCGTCTCGAAATAACGATAGTTGAAATGAAGAGTTGGGGCAAAAGGGTTCTTGGGATGCAAAACCTACAATCACACAGAAATCGGTATGATTTTGGTTGGTGCTAATGAAAAGATGAAAACCCAAATCGTAGAATCGGAGGGAGAGATCGTCACCGAGCTGACTCCGGCGGCGAAGAACGGAACCGGGCCGGGTTTCTGATCGGAAGCAGAGCCTTTAGCAGCTCTATAAGCTTCAGGAGGCATAACACCATAAACCACAGAGACATTGACCCCGGCTTTCTCAAAGACATTTCCGTCCTGCAAAACACGGCTGATTCCGCCGCCTCCACCGGGTCGAGACCAAACATCTTCTTTGAATTTCGGACCGCCTTCTACAGCTTCAATGGCCTCGCAAACACTGTCTTGAACAGACCTTATCATAGTCTCGAAACGAGCCCTGACGGAAGAAGCTGAAGAAGAAGATTGAGTGGCATCATCGGAGTCTCTAAGGAAAGTGAAAGGTCGCTCTGTCTCGGGGACTTCTTTCTCGATTGAGACTGAACATCGCAAGGCCAAATTGGGTTTACTCCTGATGGGTCGGGAAAAGCGGACAGTGGAGAGATTGGGAGAATGAAGGAGACGATGGGAGGAGAAGGGAGCGAAGGTAGGAGACGAAGAGAAGAGAGTCGAAGAGTGAGAAGCCATATTTGATCCGAATTGGATTTGATGTTGAAGATGGAGATGTTATATGATAAGAAGTCGTCGTCGTCCACTGATTTTGACCGCTTCCTCTTTCTTCACTGTTAAAAAAACAAGTCACAGAGTGCCTTGAGTTTTCAAAACCATTGTCCAAGCCAAAACCGTTTATAATCGAACCAGGCACGCAACTTAATCGCGGTTTATTTTGGTCAGACCGAGTTCAATCAGTCAATTCTAATTTTGGTCTTTCTTTCCCATCGGGGTTAGAGCCCAAATTAGGCCCATCGGAGGCAGCCAAAAGCCGGTTTAAGCTAATATCCGGTTCAAGACGGATAACCCGAATGAGTTCACACGACTTTCGTTTTATTTTCCCTCAAATGAGAAAACCAAGAGCTCTTGAGCAAATTCTGGGTTTATTTTCCAATTAGGGTTTGTTTCTCCTCCAGTCTCTGTAATTGAATGGAGCTATGCTTTCAGGTAAATCCGTTACCTCTTCTTCGATTAGCTACGGATTCTGTGTGTTCGTCTAGTTCTTATGAATTTACGCGAGTGAATCATCGTCAATGGCGGTTTTTTAATTCGGGCGTTCGTGTTTTCTGGGGAAATTATAGTTCAATTATGCTCGTCAGGGTCGTGTATAGTTAGATTTCCCCATGGGATTTCTCTGTTTACTGTAGCGGAAATGGTCAAAGCGAAGAACGGAAACTCAAAATTATCGTTCGTTTGGCTTGCTTAGAGAAGTTCTAAATCTTAATACCTAAATTTCGTCTATCTAGTTGCTAAAAATTGACTTCATTTCCGCCGGCTGTTCTTGGTAGATTTAGCTGAGCGTCACGCCAATGGCGATAAGACCTATACGGAAGACCATTACAATCGAAAGTTAAAAACCCCTAACCAAGTTATGGCGCTTGAGAATGTCTACACCGGTAAGTTCTGGATTTGTTTATTCGTGTTCTTGCCTTTTTTATGCCGAGTTGTGTATGCTTTATAGTTGTGAATTTTTTTTGTTTTTTCTGCAGAGCACAAGTGATCCTCTGGCTCCAAGTACTTAAGGCTAGGATAGCAGAGGAAATTGGGATCCTCTGGCTCTGGTGATTGAATCTGATCCTCTTCCTCCTGGTGCATTTGAGTCTCCAAGTACAGATATTGTTCAAGGTACGCCATAAACAAGGAAAACTTATACCATATTTTAGGTCTTATGCACATTCCTTTGGTTTGAGTAGCTAAAAGCATCTTCCACTTGTGTCAGACTGTGAACGTGTTTTCTTTCAACGGTTCTGCCAGAGATCAAAGTCGTTCTCACTCTCCTTATGTCACTGGAGCTAGAAGGAACTCTAATCCTGGCCTGGTAAGTGAATTTTCAGAAGCTTTCTTCTTTGTTGCACAAGGATTTCTACAAACATGTCCTCCTATAAGCCATTTTGATCTCTCTACATATAGGTGTGGTGTGGAAGTGCATTTGAGTTCCAGCGAGGAAGAAACAGCAGAAATTAACTTCTTCCGATCGTTGCAAGGCAAGGCTACAGAATCTGTAGGCAACTCTTCTACGCATGTCGTATGCGATTCTCCGATTTCATGAAGTTTTGGGTGCCATTGACCAACAAATCCAACGATTCTTCTTCCTCCCCTACCACTCCACAGCTGTAGAGATGTCGCAGGAGATGGAGTCGCCTTCACTCATTTCATGAAGTATTGGATGTCTCTTGACCAAATCCAACGCCGGGAATGATTCCACAAAGATTCTTCTACCCTCTCCGCCTCTATTCACACCTGCAGAAACGTGATTAAAGACCCAGGCGAGGTCGCCGCAGGACACTTGGAGCGGTTTTGGAGCCAAAACTCGGGAAATCACGGCTCACATGCTACGCCTGGGGACACGGTTCTAGCTACTTTTACGATGAGCCGGAATCAGATAGACAATCTCAAGCATTGGGATTGGGTCACAGAACAGTCCACGATTCAATCGCATGTTTCAACCTTCGTGGTGACGCTTGCCTTGGCTTGATCATAACACTTGTTGAAGAGAGTGAAACAGAGGCTAAGGGGGAAGACAAAGACCAACGAGTCTTTCACCTGTTGATTAATGTGGATTGCAGGAACCGTCTCAAGTGCACAGAATCAATACCACCCACCTACTTTGGCAACTGTATGGCTCCTGGTATCGTATCTGTCAATAAACGAGAACTGCTAGGAGAAAACGGCGTTTTGGCAGCTTCAGACGCAATCACAGCGAGAATCAAAGAGATGTGATCAAGCGATCTATTGAAGACAGCACCAGCTTGGGGAAGAGGAGTGGGTAAATGGGTCATGTCCCGATTTCCAACATCAATCGCAGGAGCTCCGAAATTGGGATTGTATGATATGGAGTTTGGGTTAGGAAAGCCCTGCAAAATGGAGATGGTGCACATAGAAACAGGCGGTTCTATTGCATTCTCAGATTCCAGAGACGGCAGTAATGGAGTTGAGGTCGGGATAGCGCTGGAGAAGAAGAAAATGGATGCCTTTGCTTTGAACCTACAACAGGGGATCAAGAGATTCGAAATCTAGCAGCCAAGAGCTCTTGATAAGTATATTACTGTTCCAGTCAACAACTTGTAACAGCAGCCAAATGATTCAACTTTTACCAGATCAAAACAAAACCAAATTACATAGCCCTCAATAATCGGCGATTGGTGGCTATGTAATTTGGTAAAGGACGGCGGTGTGGAAGGTAAAGGATCTCGGTATCAATCTGGATCTCCGATCTGAAGCTGCTTGAGGACGGCGGCGGAAGGGCTGCCTCCTTGTCGGAGTAGTTTAGGTCGCATGGTTTCATGTTTCCCGGTTGAGGCGGTTTCTGTTACCCAAATTCAGATTGTTACCCAAAGTCAATTTCCAGGTTCAGGAATGTTTTAATATAATGTATATTTCTTAAAAAAAAACAAGAATAGAGCGGCCCATTCGGACATAAAGATGAGCTTTCAATCGGCCCATTTCAAATTAAATTGGGCTTTTTATCGGACAATTTCTAAAATAAGTTGGGCTTTCTATGGCCCAATATAATATCAAGTTGGGCTTCAGATTGGCTCGTTACGACATCAAATCGTTCCGACACATTGTTCTCCCGACACAAAATGTTCCGACAACAAAAGTTCCGACATAGAATGTTCCGACAGAACACTTAAAGCTGCATGTTCCGACAACAATTATTGAAATAAACTGAAGTGTTCTCCCGACATTAAAATGTTCGGACAACAAAAGTTCCGACATAAAATTTTCGAACAACAAAAATTCCGACAGAACTCTTAGCTGCATGTTCCGACATCAATTATTCCGACAGAAACTGAACTTTTTAAACCTACCTGTTCCGACAAGAATTGGGCTTTTTATGGGCCCATTACAATATCAAGTTGGGATTTAAATCGGCTTGTTCCGACATCAAATCGTTCCGACACATTATTCTCCCGACATAAAATGTTCCGACATAAAATATTCCAACAGAACACTTAAAGCTGCATGTTCCGACAACAATTCTTCCGACATAAACTGAAGTGTTCTACCGACATTAAAATGTTCCGACAACAAATATTCCGACATAAACTGAACTTTTTAAACCTACCCTTTCCGACAAAACTTGGGCCTTTTATCGGCCCTTTTCGAAACTAAGTTGGGCTTTCTAAAGCCCATTCTGATATCAAGATGGGATTTAGATCGACTCGTTGCGACATCAAATCGTTCCGACCGACATAAAATATTCCGACAAAACTCTTAAAGCTGCATGTTCCGACAACAATTATCCCGACATACACCGAACTTTAAGCTACGAGTACCGACATAAATTGGGCTTTTCATCGGCCCATCTCGAAAATAAGCCCAAAGCCCGTGCGATTATTAGCTGCGTACTCATGGAAAAATTAGGCAATTGAAAGACATTAGCCAAATCCAACAACCGGAAAGATTCGATATTTCGAAAATTTACCGCCTGTTCACAGCTGCAGAAATGGATCAAAGACAACGCCTCATACGCTATACACAACAATAATATGGTAGAACATTTCAAAGAAGCATGAAGTCAATCAAAAAACAGAAAAAACAAAAAATAAAGAAAGTTTCAAAGACAACAATGTAGTGTTCTTGTTTAACTCCAGGCTCACGGTTTGTATAATAAGATGAAGCTGATGAGAACACTGGCGATATCCGAGTTTTTTCAGACGCCAAGCACAAACATACTAGTGCAAGGGTATAGTTAAAACTCAGGATGTAAACAGATATGCATAAAAAGAGGATAATTAATGGAAAGTCTCAGTTAAAACCAATGAGATCAAAGAAATTGCAGCTTCTGCCAAGGGGTTCTCCCTGAAAACAGGGTCTCGGCTCCACTACACCTCGTGCAACTGGATTACATCCTCATTGACATTCCAATCAGTTAACATAAACCACTATTGTAGGAAGCCTCAAACATTATTGCTAAGATATGAACACGACTATCAATTTCTATACATCTAAAGTGGTTACTAAGAAGTCTCAGTTAAATCCATTGAAATCAAAGAAATTGCAGTTTCTGCCAAGGGGTTCTCCCTGTAAACAGGGTCTCGACTACACTGCACCTCGTGCTACTGGATTACATCATCATCGACATTCCGAAATATCAACAACAAACCAAAAAAGAAACAATGTAAATTGGCTCAGGTATAAATACAGCTTTTTCGATCAAGAATTATCTGAAGCAGAACTGGCGTAAGCTGTTAGATTTAATCATCACTGCCAAACAAACCCAAACGAAAAATGAAGACGAAAAATCAATCAAAAAGGACGTGAGAGATTGGCTCATATTAAGAAATTCAACCATGTTTACCGATTATGCTTCATTGACCTAAGGATCTCAGAAGCGCGGGTAAGTTTATAATCACAGCCATTAAAATAACAAAGTAAGCACATTGAATCAAATCAAACAACAACAAAATACGATTCAAATCGAATAAGGGATTTAGCCGCTTTTTTGACACAGAAAAGCCTAAAGAAAAAGGCGAGCCTGCAACACAAACGGCAAAAGCAATCTAGCAAGAGCTTTGGGGCATGGTTCCTCAAGTAATCTTATCAGATTAGCCCGGGAGGCTCCTGCGAAACCTATTCAATTCTATTAAACCATAGGCAATTGAACAACGCAAATCTAAAGAACCAACATAAATACAGAGACGGCGAAGAGAAGAAGAAGGAGATGTTTATTGGTGAGATCTGTTCACGCGGCTAATATATACATAACTGGCGCTGATCAAAACCCTAGCCCCATTCTCTATGCCAAAAGTCGAAATTACCCTCGTTAATCGATTGTTTTAATTTTAACCGGCCCAACGTATACATCTGGTTGGTTACTTGGTTTTGAGGTCACTTTTGTGTAAGGCTCCGATGGTGTTTTTTTACTTTAGCGCTATATAAAACTTTCCATTACCAAATTACAGGGAATTTCTATTTACCTTTTGATGCAAATAAATTCGAATTCCATTGTTATGCTGTATTCTGCGTTCTTGTATGGACTTATGGTGAAAGCTTTTAGTCCAAGATCACAAAAAAAATACAAACTTCTTTGGAAGAGATATTATTACCTTAGAATCAAAAATATCACTGAAATACAATCTTGATTCTGAGATGTGTATGACCTTACAACAATATGGTAATACTGTATGTCAATCTTTGAACATATACCAACTACTACCAGGTGAAACCTTAACTCCTCTCTCCTTCATCTCCATTCTAAGTCCCTCAGCCTCTTCTTGTCTTCCAACACTCATATATATCTTCCCCAACAACACATAATTAGCCGGATTCTCTGGCTCTATCTTCCACAATTCCTTTGCTGCAATCTCTGCCAGCTCCACCTCGCCATAGTTCCTACAAGCTCCAAGCAAAGCTCCCCATGTCTTAGCTGTTGGCTTCTCAGGCATCGCTTGGATCACTTTGTAAGCTTCCTCAAGCCTCCCTACTCTGCTTAAGACATCTACCAAACACGAGTAATGGTCCTTGCTTGCACGCAAACCGTAACCATCCTGCATTCTCCTAAAGTAAACCAGAGCCTCATCCGCTAAGCCGGCGTGGCTACAAGCCTTGAGCACGTTCAGAAACGCTATGTCATCAGGTGGTACTTTGGCAGATTCCATTTCTCGAAATGTCTTGAGAGCTGACTCTGCGTCACCGTGAAGTGCATAAGCAGATATCAAGCTACTCCAAGCAACCACATCCCTATCAATCAAGCTATCAAACACTAATTTCACATAGACAATGCATCCACACCTCCCATATGCCTCAACTAACCCGCTTTTCAACTGCGGGTGCGGCTCAATCAGATTCCTAAAAGCATATGAATGAATCTCTTTTATTAATCTAAAAGCCCCAATGGATGAACAAGCTGATACTAGCGCAAGAAGAGTAATCAAATTAGGCTTGAATCTAAACTCAATCATCTTCCTATAGAACTCGATTGCTTTATAAGACCCATCCTCTGTACCAACTAAACCCTTAATGATTGCATTGAAAGAAGACTCATTTGGCATAACATCCATAGCTTCATACAAATCCACGGCTTCCCGGATCCTCCCAATATGTGTGTAATGCGAAATCATCGCGTTCCAAACAACCGCATTCCTGTGAGGAATTTCGTCGAACAGTTTCCGAGCGTGAGAGACAGAGACGCATTTCCCGTACAAATCGAGTAGCGCGCAGCCAACGAATGGGTTGGATAGAAAATTAGATTTTAAGGTGTGGGCATGGACTGATGCGCCGAGAGAAGGACGGAAGGCTGCAGCGCACGATTTGAGGGAGAGTGAGAAGACGTGTGCGTCGAGTGGTAAGGCGAAAGAAGAATGCATTTGGCGGAAGAGGTTGAGAGCTTGTTCATGGTTTCTTTGGTTCGCGTAAGAGCTCAATTGTTTAGTGAGAGAGATCAATTTGGTGCAGTTCGAGGAGTACGACGAGGACATGGTGATGGAGCTTTCCGGTGGTGTTGTTGGCGTCAACAAAAGCGCGCCTAAACATCGGAAAATTGCCTTTTAAGTAAACAAGGAAAAAAAATCAATAGAATATGTTTAGGATATATAATTTAATTGTATTTGCTACGACAACAAAGTCGTTGTAGTATAGTGGTACGTATTCCCGCCTGTCACGCGGGTGACCCGGGTTCGATCCCCGGCAACGGTGTAATTTTTGTTTTTTTGTTTATCGCCAATATCCTCGGATGTGTTTGTTGTTCTTGTTGTCATAGTTTTTTGTCCACATATTGAAAACTTACTAGTGTTTGCTCTAGTTCCTTGATTCAACAAAATTTCTGTAGCCAAACTTTATAATCATACAAAAACCAATATACAACATGACTGACATTGGCGTAATCATTAGATAACCTCAAGAACACTGTTTTCTCTTAAATTCTTCAGACGACAGTGTCTGAACAAGCTCTTGCAACCTCTCAGAACCGGGTCCGGGTCTCAACACCGAGTCATTTCCTTGCACCAAGCACGGATCATCGCCATTATCCGAGCTCCCAACACACCATCCCCCTGGTGCAAACCGGTGAGTCCGTCCCAATAGCTCTTTATCAATCTTGTCCAAGACAGGATCGTTCTTGTGGAACTTGCGAGCAAACGGAGCATTGCTCTTGACCATATTGTCAAAATCCTTCAGCGAGAGAGCAACCGGATGCTGCTTTGGAGGATTGTCCCAGGCAATGTAGTGTAGATCATGCCCGATCGCAGTGTTGACAAACTCTTTGCTGTTGCAGATCACTGTGTGGAAGTATCCTTCAGGAGAAGATACGAAATTAGTGTAGTACATTAGTATCGTTCTCGGGAAGTTATCCCATCCCCAGATGCAATACTCTAGGAAAGATCGAGTCAACATTATCCAAGCCGAGCCTGCATTATTCACACATAATATCATCTCAACAACATGCATTCATAGTGTATTCAATCGTGAGGTTAAAGATGCTAACCGGTGAACAGCTTGAAAGAACTTGGAAGTGATCGTCGTTGAGTAGTCCAAGCAATGTCGGATTTCTTCGACAGGTAAAGGCCTGGATCAACAATGATTGATTTAGCCCTCTGATTCCTGCAAGAACAGTTCATGTATGTACACATGCTTTGAGATTCCGGTATGAGTCTCAAATAATATAATCTTTGGTTTCTGTGGCTTATCTACTTACAGTTTCCACCCGGTGAGCTGCATATGCTCAATGAAATTGAAATTCCTTGACAGATTTGAGAAGACATGAAGCAAATCTAAAGAATCCAAAAGAAAAGCCACAAACTTTTGTAAGACACAGCTAAAGATGAAGCTCAAAAGGAACCAAATTTGAGAAAGAAACAGATCAGAGACTAGTAAAGGGAAGCAATATACTAACCATCTTGTGTTACGAGAGGATAATCTGAAGCGCTAAGATTAAGAAACCAATCCCAATGCAAGCTTTCTCTTAGCAAGATTGCAACGGCTTGAAGAGTAGAAGCAATCATTGTAGGGCCTTTGTAAGTAACAAGATTAGACTGAGCCATCACCCGAACATTCTCCATCTGACGGAAAGTCGGGTCACTCTTCATAGACATTGCTAGTTCCATGCGTTCTCGAGGAGGAGCCTCAAGATCCAAATGCAGAACATACTGGTTTCTAGGATGGTACACAGCTTGTAAAGTCCTCATCATCCTACGACTATCACCTTTTGTTCCTGATATCAAATAAGCTAACCTAGGAAGCTCTGGTGGATTAACATCATTCTTCGATTGTCTGAAATCTGATTCTACAAAGTAGTCATTAGACTCTGACACAACATCTGATGGCAATGGGTCTGCTTCCACATAAGAGCTGGTTCGACCAGAGATGGACAACAACATCAGGAGAGCAATCGAGATGAACAAGGTTGCTAGAAAAGGGAACATCCATTTTCTGTCGCTGAAAGCTCTAAATCCTCCTGAATGTGAGCTTGAGCTAACGTGTCTCTTCACCCTACCAAATGGGTCTCTGATTGAAACCAGCTTCCTATACAATTTTCTCATTCCCTAACCACTTATCCTCTATCCAACGAAGTTGTATATAGATTACAAATTTTACTAAAGCTTCAATCTTTATGCGATTGCCAGAACTCCAAAAAACACTCTCAACTCTCAAGAATCAAGAAGAAATTTGCAACGAAGTGGCAAGTTCGGCAAAACTCATTTAGAAGAGAGGATTTTGAAAAAGAAATGGCTTTTTTGGCATGCAGCCAATGGAAAGAGAAAAAGTTTTCTTTTTTCTTAGTCCCAAAAGCTGAGCTGAGTCAGATCTAGTCCAAAATCAATTTCAAAATTAGTCAGCAGAAGAAGGCGATACTTCAAGTTTAAGTCTTGATTTACCTTAAAGAAACAAGACACTCGGTCCGCTGAAAGTGACAGACGCTACAGAAGAAAGTTAGTGCAGCAGAAAGTGACGTGACAGGATGAGAGTTTAAACTTCTGATTGGCTAAAAATTTCAGAAATGGGCAAGAGAAGAAGATATCGAAATTCAATTATTTGAAGAAGAAGAAACTTGGGGAGAAATGAAAGATACAAAAGCTGTCTGAAAGAGAGAATGTGAAATTGACGCGGCGAAAGAGAGAGAGAGAGAGAGAGAGAGACAGGGAGATACAGAGAGACATGGCAATTAATTTAAAAATCAAACATTTTCTAGGCGTTAGCCTCAATTGTTGTCAAAATCAAAATCAGGAGAGAATTTAATGATCATGTACGACTCACACGTGGCATTATCGACGGATTAAAACCGTTATACTACTGTAGAACTAAGGCGTGAAGAGAAAATCCGTTTTTGCTGCTTGACTACATAGGAATTTGATACCAGGAGAAGAAGAACAATTAAAGTTTTTGTTTTGATTTACTGTTAGCAATTGAAAAATCTGTGGAATAAACTGGCATTATGAAGATATCATAGCTGAGTGGTTCGATTTGTTAAAAAAAAAACTAGCATACAAAACTAAATAAAGCATGTTTTTGAATTTTGACACACATAAAATTGTTTCACAAAAACAGTTTCATTCAGACTGTTGCCGGCCTCTACCTCTACCTCGCCCACGTCCAAACCGACCACGGCCCCGACCCCTACCACGACCACGGTGGCCTCTTCCCCGTTCAGAAGACTCCCCGGTCCTAAACCCTTGAGACTGTGGTTCCATTGGGGACTGCGGGTTAGTTGGTGACTGCGACTGTGGACGTGTCTGTGTCTCAGACTGTGGTTGCATTTGGAACTGCGGGTTCATCGGAGACTGTGGCGGCCGGTTCAGCATTTGGAACTGCGGGTTCATTGGGGGCTGCTGGTGGATTTGGAACTGCGGCTGCATCTGGAACTGTGGGTTCATTTGAGACTGTGGCCGCTGCATTTGAAAGCCTTGGGAAGCAAACATATTAAAATTCATATCATTCTGTAATTGCGGTTGCTGAATACCGCGACCCATCCCAAACGGTTGTTGTTGGTTGAAACAGTTCTGACCAACCAAGGCAGGCCATGGCGCTGAACCCTGTCCTTGAAAGAAGTTCAAGCCTCCTGGTCCACCTGGCATTGGCATCTGGCCACCATTGAAGTGTGGCTGGAACATCATTTGGTTTTGATTCTGATTTTGCATTGCCATGAAAGGCATCTGCTGCATTGGAGGTAGGTGGTGCATTCCCATCTGGTTAGGTATGGGAGGAAGCTGAAATGGGTTCTGCTGGTTACTCTGAGGTCTCCACGCTCCACCGTTTGGAGGAAAACCGTCCATTTGAGGACGTGGCTGATGATTCGAAACCGGACCACTCATTGGAGGATCAGAACGGTTCGAGGATAGAGAACTAGATCCCTGGTTCTCTGTCCATTCCCCTGAGTAGCTGCTCGTAGGCCTTCCCTGATCTCGGTTCTTCTTCTTCTTGTTTCTTGCGTTACCAGTTTTTTGGTCACTCATACCTCTCTTTTCCATCTTCTGCATTCTTCTGTATTCGGCTTCTTTTTCATCATCTGAGAACTCAAGCTCCTCTGATATCTCCTCGTCGTTGTCTCCAGATGCATCGTAACCTTTCTTCTGCAGTTCCTTGATGTTGAGAATATGCTGAGCGTAATCCGCAACGAATGAGACAGGTGTACCTTCACAAACCCCCTCTGGCACTTCGCTCTCTGAATTGAACCTCACAATATAATAAGGGCACTTGACAGGTCCAAAGATCTCATCCACCAGTCCCAATGGCGTTCTTCTTTCAGTTATCCATAGGATTGAACCTTCACTCAAAGGACTATGCTTTTCCATTCCCTCAACTATGACTTGCGCGCACATCACCTGTAAAATCACAAAACCACACGAGTTTACTTTTAGCAGCGGATAGCCAAGACAATCAAAGAGAGAAGCAATAGCATACAAGTAGAGGTAATGATTATATTACCGAAAGAACAACTCCAACAGGAAGCGTTGCATGATGCGGCTCTAGAGAGACTTCCACAGCTGGAACTGGAGGAAGCTCCTGCAAAAGTTATAAACGGAAAACATCTTTCAGAGTTTACTAAACCAAAAAAGAACACTTCAAAGGGTAATGGCTAATAGCCTGAGGATGGTACACAGTTTTCTTGTTGCAACCTTAATCAGTAGTCTACAATAATAACGGATTGTACTTCTTACTCTACAAAGATAATGAATCATATACTTCTTTCAAGTAAACAAAATTCAGGCATTGGAGTTAGCAACAGTTACCTAAGGCGGCTTAGAGACAACAAAAGAAATCAACCACTAACAGCTATGAAATGTGAAAAGTTGAAGCATAAGTACCTTGAGCTCATTCTTTGACCTTATAGGTTCTTTTGTTTGCAAACCAAGGTCATCATCCTCATCATTGCTCCACGCAACCATCTCATTCACTTCATCATCATCATCATCACTATCATCATCTTCAACCTCGTTTTCGTCACCCTCGTGCTCCTCATCTACACTGTCTATCTCGCCCTCTTCAAGTTCCCCTGCCAAATCATCCTTTTTCCCCATAACCATTTCATCTCCCAACTTGTTTTCCTTCTTGTTTTCCTCCTCATCGCTCTCTTCTTCTTCACTGCTACTACTATCATCACTATCGCTCGAAGAAGAGCTAGAGGATTCGCTCTCGGACTCGGCAGCATTAGCTTTCCCCTTAGCTCCATCAGTCTTATCATCATCCATTGTCAAGCTAACCTTCTCCAACCCAACTTCAATAGAAGAAGCCAAACCTTCATCTGTTTTCTTCAACTCTGATTCATCCAAATTCATGTTGGAACAAGCAGCAGACACAGTTTCACCATCCATTGGCTTAGAGTTGTCAGAAACAACAGCTTCTGACTCTTTCACTGCTGCTTCAGCCACGCCGTTAAAATTTGCAGACATGTCATCACAAAGCTTGGGCTCTACCTCAATCATCGGCTCAGACACGTAACCATAAAGCTCAGGCCTTACTACAATCTTCGACACAGAGCTAATCGAGCTCACTCCAATTTCTTCAAAACTTTCACCACAAAGCTCAGATTTTGCCTCAATCGTCTCAGACAGAAGCGTCGTCTGATTCTCCGGACGCGTTTCCTCGCTAACAATAACACCACCTTGACCAATCTCCATGTCGTCCTCAAAAAAATCAAAGTCCGTATCCTCTATGCTAAACTCTTCAGTGTTGCGATTATTCCCCAACCAGTTGCAGGAATCGAAATCCAGAAAGGAATCGACTGAAGGGAAATCAAGAGTGTCTTTGAAAGCTTTTACCTTTGGGTCTTGATCGATTACTTGGACTGGTAGCTCTTCAACAACGGTTTTAGGTGGTTTAGCGGGAAGTCCGACCATGGCAAGAAGAGAGAGCGCGAAGAACTAGCGAAGGAAATTGAAAAAACATGTCTTGGAGAGTAAAAGCGGCGGCTGAGTTATAAAGGCAGCCACACACACGGCAAAGGCGCGATGAGCTATAGGGTTTTAAGAAGTAATCAGTTTCTGCCACTCCCGATTAGGGTTTTAGCCCTTCCTATCTCCCTCCATCTACCTCTCGACTTTTTTTTGTAGTATTTTTTTCTTTCTGGATACTATTGTAGTATTTATTTTTATTTTAATATACTTGTATAATATATAGTTGCTTTAGAGAGTTATCTTATCCTCAAAATCCAATTGATATTTTTAATCCCGGCGATTTAGACATAAAATTAAACAAAATCCAGTTATATCATTAGTTTGCAATTCGCACATTATATCATATATCCAAATTCTAAAGCAAAATCAAATTTGATAAAATATATGTTGCCTAACCAAGCTTATATAGATACAGAGATTTAGATACACAAATGTTAATGTAAATTCAAATGCTGATCACTGTTAACGTGAAATGACGTACCTAACTTGTAAAAAAGTGTAACTGCAAATTGAATTACATCACAAATATGTAGAGTCATTTGGATTAGCAAATTGCAAATTCGTGCTTATATTTTTTTTTACTACATTGCAAATATTTGTGATCATAAATAGTTCCGATTAGGCAGAAGTACCTAACTTGTAAGAAGTGTTCACCGGCGATTGTGGCGCCTCCAATGAATCTCACCTTGAAGCGCCATTTCAGTCAACACGCCTCTCTATGTCTCACACCTTCAGTTTCATCCTCTTCTCTGACAAAACAATATCGGATCCAGGAGCTCTGTAATTCGAGTCGACTCACGGACGCCATTCGGATCCTAAACTCAACAGACTCATGTGAAATCTCCACCAAGCCGAATCTCTACGCGTCTCTCCTGCAAACATGCACCAAAGTCTTCTCTTTCTTCCACGGCCTTCAGTTTCACGCCCATGTCGTCAAATCGGGTCTGGATACGGACCGGTACGTTGGGAACAGCTTGCTCTCCCTTTACTTCAAGCTGGGACCCGGTATGAGGGAGACCCGGAGAGTTTTCGACGGAAAGTTCGTCAAAGACGCCACCTCCTGGAGCTCAATGATGTCTGGATACGTCGCCGGTAAAGAACATTTCAAGGCGCTTGAGATGTTCGTGGAGATGGTGAGTTTTGGTTTA